TGGAAAATTATTTTTTAAGAAAAAGCTTAGAGCCGGGCGGTAGTGGCACATGCCTTTAATCCCAGCACTCGGGAGGCAGAGGCAGGCGGATCTCTGTGAGTTTGAGACCAAGCTTGGTCTACCGAGTGAGTTCCAGGACAGGCTCCAAAACAATACAGAGAAACCCTGTCTTGAAAAACCAAAAAAAAAAAAAAAAAAAAAAAAAAAAGCTTAGAAGCACAGACTAGCACTTAGCAGGTAAGTGTGAGCCCCTGAGTGTAGATCCCAGAATCCCTACAATCCCATCTCTCCCATGGCCAGATGGAGGCACAGACACAATCCCTGGGAGTTTGTAGGCTAGCTAGCCTGGCATACACAGTGGCCAACACCCAGGGACTCTGTCTTAAGCAAGGAAGAAGACAAGAACCTACATCCAAGGCTGACCTCTGATCTCCACATGTGCACTGTGACACATAGCACCCCCACACAAACACACAAATTTAAAACACAGACTGATAAAAATACTTACTACCTATATGATAGGCAAATATTTTACCTATAGCACATAAAGAGATATGACAAATTAATAAGAAAAGGTAAGTCATTTGCAAATTGGCCCAGAGTTATAAAAAGACCAGTCATAGCTGGGTGGTGGTGTCGCACGCCTTTAATCCCAGCACTCAGGAGGCAGAGGCAGGCAGTTCTCTGTGAGTTCGAGACCAGCCTGGTCTACAAGAGCTAGTTCCAGGACAGCCTCCAAAGCCACAGAGAAACCCTGTCTTGAGCCCCCCCCAAAAAAGACCAGTCATAAACAAGTCAAAAGATATATTATTCAACACTAGTAATAATCAGAGAAAAAGGGCTAAGTCAGTGACAAGATATACTTTCTTATTGAACTGAATAGTTTTAGAAGTACATACTGTTTTATTGGACTAAGGTGTGGGAAACAACCCACATAATTCACTATAGGGGTGTTAACTGGAAGATAGCACTATTAAGAACTTACCAATCAAAGAGATTCTGAAATAAACTGGGGGTGATGGTATACACCTTTGATCCTAACACCACGGAGGCAGAGGAAGGTGAATCTCTGAGTTCAAGGCCAGCCTGGTCTACACAGCAAGTTCCAGGACAGCCAGGGCTACACAGAGAAATCTTGTCTTGAAAAACCAAAAAGAAGGTGGTGGGGAGTGAGAGAGCACAAAATCTTTTCCTTTCTTTTTTAAAGACAAGTTTCACTTCACAGCCCAGGCTTTGCTGCTAACTCTTGGTAAACCTCCTGTCTCAGTGTTCTGAGTGATGAGACTGCAAGGCATAAGCTACCACACCCAGCTAAGCAAAGTTTCTAACAATGAAAACTAGGAGATAATTATACATATCTGAATTGGTTTGTTTTGCATTTATATGACCAAATACCCAAGGTTGTGTAATTTATAAAGGAAAAAACTTACAGTTTTGGTCCAAGGTCAAAGGCCCAGAGCTGATGATTGCCTTGCTGGCAGTCTCAAGGCTGAAGACTATATCACATGGTAAGACATGGGAAGCATGAATGAATGAATATGTATGTATTTCTTTGGGCCTCTCTCTTCTTAGGAAGTCGCTAGGATTCAATCATGGGGATTCTGCACCAAGGACCTTATATAACCCTAATCACCTCTCAAAGGCCTACTTCTAAACATCAGTCAGATTCCATTTCCACTCTAAGAGTTCACAGTGAGGATTACATTTCAATACACAAAACCCCGGGGAGCACGCTAAACCCATAGCAATATCTGATAATAGAATAATTAAATGAATTATGAGCAAGTTTGTGTAGGGTATGTGGTATGGAGTGTGGGGAGCATGGGGTGTGGTGTGTGTCTATGTGTGTGGTATGTGTGGTGTGTGGGGGTGTGGGGTGTGGTGTGTGGTGTGTGTGTGTGTTTGCAAATGAAATGTTGACAAAAAGAAGTAAAAGGATGCCCCTGTAGAAGCAGCAAGATAGAGTGGAAATGGGGAGACTTCTACCTTCGTTATGTGACCTCTTTTATTGTTTGAATTTATTTCAAGGAACCTGATCTGTTCTTTTTTCTTCTTCTTTCTCTCTTTTCTTCTGTCTCTCTTCTCTCTCCCTCCCTCTCTTCCTCCCTCCCTCCCTCCTTCCCTCCCTCCCTCCCTCCCCCCTCTCTGTGGGTGGTGGTGACTGGCCTTATTATGAAGTGTAAACTGATTCCAATTTTGTAACATTCCTGACCCAGCCTCCAAATGCTACAATTACAGAAGTGTACCACCACATTTCCATCATGAATTACTCTTGTAACTAAGAAACAAAGAAAGAAATCTAAGCATTGTGTTTCATGCATGTAATCCCAGAACTCAGAAGAGTGAGGCAGAAGGATTGCAATGAGTTTGGGGTCAGTCTGGCCTATTTAATGTGTTCTAGAATAGCCTAGGGTAGGGACCCTATCTCAAAAACAAAAGAAAGGGTTGGAAAGATGGTTCAATGGTTCAGAGTACATGCTGTTTTTGCAGAGATCCAGGCGTCAGTTTCCAGCCCCCAAATGGAGCTCCCAACCATTTGTAATTCCTGTTCCAAAGATTTTGATGCCCTCTCCTGACTTCTCTGGGCATTGCATGCATGCAGTATACACACATTGCTGCAAAACAAACACATACAAATGAATAAATCTTTTTAAAATAAAAAGAGAGAAGGCTGGGTGTTGGTGGCACAAACCTTTAATCCCAGCACTCAGGAGGCAGAGGCAGGCAGATCTCTGTGAGTTCGGGACCAGCCTGGTCTACAGAGCGAGTTCCAGGACAGGCTCTAAAACAATACAGAGAAACCCTGTTTTGAAAAACAAAACAAAACAAAAACAAAAAACAAAAAAGAAAAGAAAAAGAGAGAAGGACTGACCTCCAGATTTTTAATAAACATTTAAAAATTTTAAAAATTGTCAGAGTGGTTTGTGGCAAACACCTTTAATCCCAGAGGCAAGTGGTCTCTGTGAGTTTGAGGCCAACCTGGTCTACAGAGAAAGTTCCAGGTCAGTCAGAGCTACACAGAGAAACCCTGTCTCAAAAAACACAATAAATAAATAAATAAACGAATAAATAAATAAACAAGTAAATAAAATTACTAATCTGGGGGTTAGGTAGATGGTTAAGGAGCTTGCTGAGCAAACATGAGAACATGAGTTTGGTTCCCCAGACCAGGTAAATGCTGGGTTTACAGTTCTGTGCCTGTAACCTCAGCACTGGGAGCATGACAAGAGGAGCCCTTGGGTGGTGGGGTGCTCCCTGGCTGGACAGTCTAGCCAATTCCTGAGTTCCAGGTCCAAAGAGAGACCCTGAAGAGGGATCAAGGAAGACACTTGATTTGATCTATGGAAGAGCACACACACACACACACACACACACACACACACACACACACACACACACACACGCTGTATGGGTATGCATGTACACACACTCACCCCGAAATACTAAATTGTAATAGCATTGTTGTAATAGGCTTTGGAAAGCAGTTTGATGTATTCTGTTCCTAGGAACTGACTACACTTGGGCAGGCAAAGTCGGTGGCTAGAATTTAGCAAGGGAAGCAAATATATGTCACTCTTTATTCCTTCTTGAATACTGAATTTTAACTATGAGGATATATTTTCATAGAAACATTTCATATTTCTAGACTTTGTCCTGATGGTACATCATAGACATTAGCTAATGCATTGCCATAAGGATGGTCTTTGCACCGTGATTTGTAGTAATGGAGAACTGTAAGCAATTTTTCAATATCTAACAAGAGCAAACTGCCCAAATGAACTATGGTGCATGGGAAATGGGGATGGCTCAGTTAGCAAGGTGCCTGCTGCGCAAGTCTACAGATGTAAGTCAGGACCCCCCAGATAGTGGTGCAGGACTGAAGCCACAGCACTGGGGGAGTCGAGAGAGCAGATTCCTGGAGCTCACAAACCAGCCAGCCTAGTGGAATCAGTGAGTTCCAGGTTGAGTAAGAGACCTTGTCTCAAAAACTAAGATTTGGGGGGGGGGCAGAGGCAGGTCAGTTGCTGTGAATTTGAGGCAAACCTGGCCTACATAGAGAGTTCCAGGACAGCCAGCGCAATATAGTGAGACCCTTTTTCAAAAAACAAACAACTAAGGTGGAGATTGGCTGAGGAGTACACCCAATCACTGGGTGTCAACCACTGGCTTCTGCACAGGTGTGTACATGCATGAACACCTGCACCACCATTTACAATCCCACACGTGAATACACATAAATGTCCATACACACACACACACACACACACACACACACACACACACACACACACATCAAGATGGTAGCACAGACTTGTAATCTCAACTCTAGGGAGGCTGAGGCAGGAGGCTAGCCTGGACTGCTGAATGAGTTCAGTGGTGGATTACATAGTAAGACTCTGCTTCCAAAGGGAAAACATCAGCTCTCTGTCAGTGTCTAACATTATTGACTGAAGACATCACATTGCTCTCCAGAGCATAAGAGACTGATAGTTTAGTTTTTTGTTCTTTTTACTTGAAATTTTGATTGAAACTTTAAAAGTTAATGCCACTCTTTTTATGCCCCTCCTCCCCCTTCTTCATTCTTTCTTTGCCTTTTTAGTCACAAAAACAACTCATGAGCTAAGTGTTTATCTATTTACAGCTATATTACATTTTGTTTATTTGTTTTCTGTGATATATATATATGAGTGCACTAGTGCCATGGTGCCTAAGTGGATGTCAAGATATAACTTGTGACAGTCCATTCTCTCCTTCCACCATGTGTGACCCAGGGATTGAATGCAGGTCCTCAGGCTTGACAGCAAGCACCTTTACCCCCACTGAGCTAGTAAAGTTTTATGTAGGCAGGCAGGCAGGCAGATAGATACACAATCTAAAGCAATGGATACCAAGAGTCACAGTGAAAATAGAACTTGTTAGAAAAAATCAAGAATTCCGGCTCTCTGCTCCTCCCTGTTCTAGACACAGCCATGCAGTGCCTGCCTCGTCCCTGAAACACAATGGTGAAGGTTGGCGTGAACGGATTTGGCCATATTCAATGCCTGGTTACCAGGGCTGCTGACACGTCTGGCAAAGTGGACATTGTTGCCATCAATGACCACTTCATTGACCTCAACTACATGGTCTACATGTTCCAGTATGACTCTACCCATGGCAAGTTCAAAGGCACAGTCAAGGCTGAGAATGGGAAACTTGTCATCAATGGGAAGGCCATCACCATCTTCCAGGAGCGAGATCCCACCAACATCAAATGCGGTGATGCTGGCGCCGAGTATGTTGTGGAGTCTACTGGTGTCTTCACCACCATGGAGAAGGCTGGGGCCCACTTTAAGGGTGGGGCCAAGAGGGTCATCATCTCTGCCCCTTCTGCTGATGCCCCCATGTTTGTGATGGTTGTGAACCATGACAAGTATAACAACTCCCTCAAGATTGTCAGCAATGCGTCCTGCGCCACCAACTGCTTAGACCCCCTGACCAAGGTCATCCATGACAACTTTGGCATTGTGGAAGGACTGAAGACCACAGTTCATTCCATCACGGCCACCCAGAAGACTGTGGATGGCCCCTCCAGGAAGCTGTGGCATGATTGCTGTGGGGCTGCCCAGAACATATCTACATGCCCGTCAGTCTCTCTATCTGTACTATTTTGAGTCTATGCTCAAGTGGCATAAGAGTAATAACAGCAAAAGCAAGGGCTAGAGCTACAGTTCAGTGGTGGAGTACTTGCTTAGGATGTGCAAAGCCCTGGTTCTAGCCCCACAAAAGGAGAAAGTAAAATGTAATGTTAACACATATGCTAGACGATGTCCGCAGCAGTACTTAAGACGTGTGGTTACGCTCAAGCCTTGCAGCATTCTCATAAAGGAGGTTCTAGTTATAAATGAACAAAACAGGAAGTTAGATGACTTGCCCAAGGAAGGCCACACAGTGGAAGGAGACAATGTTGTGGCTGTGATGGAATTTATCTCCCTGTGTGCCTTCCCCATCCTTGCTGGGATATAACACTGCAAAAGAGAACCTTTTCATCTTTACCTGGCTCTTCCTCCCACCTTCCCTTTAAAAGCCCTTCAGGGCCACTCAGAAACCCTTCAAAGTGAGCCCACAGTCCCCTCTGCTGGCAGCTGCTTTTCACTGCAGGCTGTCTCTGACCTTGAATGGCCTCTATTAGTTGAGATGCCTCTGGCTGCAAGCCTACCAACCAGTTCTGGCTATCTGAAGGGGAAAAGAATGGGGAAGACAGGGGAGGGGAGGGGAGGTGGGGACAGCCAGGGAGACAGGTTAGAAGGGTTATGTGGTATCTCAGGGACACTGAGAAAGGGTTGAACAACCAAGAATAGTCACAGAAGGAAAGGGCAGGTCCCAGTTCCCACAGCTGGAGCTCATGTGACTATCTTCATACAGCAACCTTATCCAGGTGACTCATCACTAACAAGAGATCCCTGCGTCTCTCCATTCAAAGTTCCAGACTACCAGGACATAGCAGTTGATTGGGCTAGCTTGAGCCAGCCTAGGCCCTGTGAATCTGGTCATGGACTCCCAGAGGGCCATGGAAGCACTTGAGACCAAGGATACTGTTCCTAACATTGAACACCCAGAATGGCACTGGTAAGCACCCATTAGAAGTCATTGACCAACCTGTAAGCAATGTGTTAAAAGTTCTACCCTGTGCTAGGCTGGAGGGAAGGGGCAATAGAGACTACACTAGGTAGTTCACGTGACAGCTTGTAGGAAGTGACTCCGTACATACCAAGGGATACTGAAGAGCTTCTGTGCATTGACCATCAGTGTGGCTGTTCTGATATGGATTCAGGCCCTTCTCCCTATGTTAACCCAATTCACCATCTCTACTCTCAGAGCCATTAGGGAAGACCCAGGTGAGGGATGCCATCCCAAGTCATTCTCTTGGATATTGACGGTCTGTGAAACACAGCTACATTGTTCTGCCGATGACCAGACAGCAGCATGGCGTGTTTCTTAACAAAGGTCCCAGTAAACTCATGGCTTCTAATCTTTAGTCTCCGTACCCCTAAAGTTTCAAAGTTTCATTTATTCATTTATTTATTTATTGTGTATGTACATGTGTGCATATGCATGCCATGGTGTGTGTGTTCAGGTCAGAGGACAACATATAGAAGTAGGTTCTCTCCCACCTCAGGGTTCTAGAGACAGAAGTCAGGTTGTCGGACTTGGTGGCAGGTGCCTTTACCCATGGAACCATCTCACAAGCCTAAATTATGTTTTTGTTTTTGTTTTATTTTTTGAGGCAGAGTTACTCTGTATAGTTCTGACTGTCCTGGAACTCGCTCTGTAGACCAGACTGGCCTCAGACTCACAGAGATCTGCCTGCCTCTGCCTTTCAAATGCTGGGATTAAAGGCATGTACCATCATCACTGGCTAACAAGCCTAAATTTAAGGTTTCTTTTTTTTAATTTAAGGTTTATAAACACATCTGCACATCTGCAAGGATGGGGTGGGCTGATGTACGAAGTGAGTTGGAGACAAAAGATGTAATGACAGTATCAACTAAGACAGAATAAAGACTGTGTCCTTGAATGGCCAGTGTGATGGTTACTCTTGACTGTCAATATGCCTGGATTTAGAATCGCTAATCCACACACCCTTAGGATCAGCTGAGCTACAACTGGGAAGTGAGTTACACTGCTCTTCCTGAAGATAGGTCAAAGCCATGTGAGCTAATCCCTTGATGTCTCTCATTTTGGACGTTTCCTTGCTATGATGAATACCAAGAGAAACCACTAAAGGAGAGATTTATTTTGCATCTTGATCTCAAAGGTCCAAGACTTACTGAATCCATTGCTTTGACCCTAAGGCCAGGCAGAACATTGTAACAGTAGAGACATGTGACAGAGCCCGCTCATTGCGTGGTGACCAAGAAGCAGACGACATGCCTGTGTTAGCTAGTTTCTTCCTTTCTCCCCTTTTATTCCATTCAGACCCCCCCAAGCCTATTAGATTCACATTTGACACAGCCACACCCTTAAATGTATGGAGCCTTTATCAGCTGTCTTACTGTTAGGTTATAGTAATGGGTGATGCTGATAGGCCCTGGGTGGCAGCGCCTGGGTGGCCCTGGTGCTGATCATAGACTGCACACAAATAAGAATTAATAGTAATCTACTGCCTCCAAGTCTCGACGTTAACTGTGGATCTGTTTGTTATAGCAGCCTCTGAGTCACGCCGACTGTGGGTCTATTTGTTACAGCAGCTCAGCCTCTGTTGGATGACAGCCAGGATTAATATGTCATGGGAATGTACTGCTTACAAATGGCAGGCACTCTATTAAACACTTTATCCTCCCTGGATATTCACACTCAAGTGCTTCCTGTTACCCATGTGTAGGCAAGGACACCCAATTGCAGACAGATTAAGTTTGTTGTGCAAAGTTTGTCTGACTTGAAAGCCCAGTGTGTGGAGATGGTTTCTGCTTGTCTCCACCCTGATTTCCTCTGCTCTTCAGGAAGCTGCCTGGATTGCATCATTCTGGCTTTTCCTTAGAGTTGGCCAGTAAGAGACACAAATAGGACACACACACACACACACACACACACACACACACACACACACACACACCCAGAGGAACAGAGGAGACAGAGGTTTTGTTCCACCTACTCCGAGCTCTCTATCCAATTACCTGATAGAACTGGCTGTGTTCCTTTGCCAAAGGCCATAGATCCTATCGGAAAGCCATCTGGGATAGACGGTAGAAGCTCATTGGTAGGGGCTCTCCACTGTCTTAGCTCTAGAGGCACTTGACAATATTTTCTTAATTTGTCTCAAGCCTATGATGTACCTGGGTAAAGTGTTCCTCTAATGACTTACCTTCAATGATCCCTGTGATGGCTAGTGTGGATTGTGAGCCTGACAGGCTCTAGACCAGTGCTTCTCGACCTGTGGGTCATGACCCCTGTGGGGGAATCAAATGACCCTTTCACAGGGGCCGACTAAGACAATCAAAAACAGATGCTTACGATTCATAACAGTAGTAAAATTGCAGTTACAAAGTACAATGAAATACTTTTATGGTTTGGGGGTCACCACAACATGAGGAACTGTATTCAAGAGTCCAGAGCATTAGGAAGGTTGAGAGCCCTGTTTTAAATTCACCTAGGAGCTAAGCCTACAGGCACACCTAGGCAAGGACTATTCAAATTAGGTTAGCCTTTGGGCGTGACTGTGGAAGTTTATCTTAATTAAGTTAATTGAGGAGGTAGCACCACCCTGGACCGAGGTTCTGGGATACCTCAAGGCTTGCTGCTCTCCAACTGCATATGCAATGTGATGAGGTGCCTCAAGCCCCAGCCATTCTCTGCTATGTACTGTGAATCACAATAAGCCTTTTCTCTTTTCACTTATTATTACTATTATTATTTATGTGAACTCATGTTTTGCCTACATGTATGTCTGAATGAGGGTATTGAGTCTCCTGTAATTAGAGTCACAAACAACTGTAAGCTGCTATGTCGTGCTGGGAATTGAACTTTGGTCCTCTGGAAGAGCAGTCAGTTGTTTTAACCACTGAGTCCTCTCTCCCTCTCTCTCTCCCTCCCTCCCTCCCTCCCTCCCTCCCTCCCTCCCTCCCTCCCTCCCTCTCTCTCTCTCTCTCTCTCTCTCTCTCTCTCTCTCTCTCTCTCATACACACACACACACACTGTTTCACAAGAAGGGTCTCTCTATGTAGCCCTGGCTGTCCTGGAACTCACTCTGTAGACCAGGCTGGCCTTGAACTTACAAAGATTCACCTGCCTCTGCCTCCCGAGTACTGGGATTAAAGGTGTGTGCCACCATTGCCAAGCTCTGCCTTTTCTCTTCTAAAAAAAAAGTTTTTTTTTCTACAGGGTGTTTTGTCATAGCAGTGTGGCAAGCAGCTAACACAATCCCTTTAGTTGCTGTCCGTGGTCAGCAACCTGACAGCACAGCGTATCTGTGTTTCTAGTAACTTTAGACCCCTCAGTAGTTTGGCCACTCTCTTCTTCCTTGGAAGGAGCACCCATCTTTCTGACCTGGGACACCTGCTGTGGGAAGAGTTGCCTTTGCTCCAGGTTGTAGACGTAGTCAAGTGCTTCAACCTGTCCAATCATAGCAATGCATCCCACTGCCTTCAGTGATAGACTCAGTCAGAATGCTGAATGACAACACTAGAAAGAGAAGAAGCACTCTTGTGTTCTGTAGGACTCCAGCCCTAGGTGCTGGCAGAGATTGTATCTTTATGTTGATTCCAAGAAAGAAGGCAAAACTAAGGAGACAAGGCCGAGTCTCAGTTACGTATTACTCATATTGAGTGAGCCCCTAGGTCCAGCTATCCCTAAAGTCTAATTACTGCTGGATTTTTTTTACCCACCCTGAGCTATATTACAGTCCCCCCCTTTTTTTACGTAACCCCCTGTGCTCTGGGTTTTCTGTCACTTGCAATCAAGCATGATAACAGATAGAGAAGCAGGTGAAGCTCATACATGTTCTTTGCAAGAAAACAGCAACTACTTCTGTCTAAGAAATGGAAGAAAGAATGCTTTTGTAAGGGGCAGTCTTAAGAAATTAAAGGAAAGGCAGAAAAGACAGGTTTGGGAAAAGACGTGTGCCACAGAGTCCCTGGGGATTGGGATAACAGGACTGAATGACAGTGGCATTAGGGCCCTGCTCTGGAATCAGCCAATACTAACCAACTGCCACCCAGAGATACTTAGCTCAAGATTCACATTAGTGTGGAATCGAGAAGAGATGAAGTAGACAGATGGGGTAGGGTCACAGAGAGGGACAGAGACCCAGAAATGATTGATTTGCACTCGAGAAATTAAAAACAAAGTCATGCTTAGCAAATATGGGGAAAGGAAGGAACCAGCTCTGGTGACCTCATTTTCTCCCAGACACAAAGAGACAGTGAAATTGCTAGGACCCAAGGGAATTCCAGCTGTCACCAGGTTGCACTAGCCACAGCAGAGAAAACCCAGGGACTCAGAGAGGCATTATCCATCACATGGGCACTGTTCAGGACCCAGAGGGAGAGGACTGATAGCTTCTTAGTGAAGCAAATTGAAGTGGCCAGCGCTCTCTCCTCACTGGATATGGGCTTCACGGCCCCTTTAAGGGCTGCCTATAGAGCCACACTGTCCTTCCACACAGCTTTTTCTGCCCCCTCCTCCTTCTCCACAAAACAGGTGTTTTCCAAAGTGCGAGGTTGAGGACAGCAGAGACATGACAAAGCTCCAGAATTTTCCACTCTGTGTGTGTACTGTAGGTGTGTGTGTACTTGTTTGAAATGCTGTCTGGTTTGTCTGCAGCTGCTTCACAGGAGACCCCAACCCAGCAATACACAGGACAGCCAGTGGTGTCAAGTGAGGGATCTGAACTGAAACCAAGATTTGAATCCTAATTTCGTTGCTGATGAGCTCTGTGATAACCGACAGGCTGTTTCCCCTTCCCCATACCTTTGAACCTCTGTTCACTACAGGAAGGAATCCCTGGCTGAAGCTCTGTTGTCTATGCACCAGTATAGCTCAAATGGTTCTGGAAAACATCAAAATACTGCCAAACTAGTTGGTAAACGGATACCACAGCCTTTGGTGTTCTGTCACTTTTACCTCTCCTTGCCTGTCCCCACTTGATCCAAGAAGTCAAGTGTTAACCTTGGCTGAACAGAGTTGAGTCCTTCATCTAACCCTAAACCAGCATCTGCCGCTGCTGGTTGTCTTAGGGCTTTTATTGCTGTGATAAGACACTATGACCAAAACCCAAAAACCTTGGAGAGGAAAAAGTTTATTTCAGCTCCCAGCTCTCAAGGCACACTCCATCACTAAGGTCAGGGCAGGAACCTGGAGGCAGGAGTGGAAGCAGAAGCCATGGAGGAGTGTTACTTACTGTCGTGCTCCCCAGGGTTGCTCTGTCTGCTCACTCACACCGCCCAGGACCGCCTGCCTAGGCGCAGCACCACCAACAGTAAACTGGGTCTTCCCACACCAGCCGTTAAGAAAAATGTTCCTACAAGCTTGCCAAGAGACCAGGCTGGTGGGCACATTTTTCTCATTTGAGGTTCCCTCTTCCCAAATGACTCTAGTTTGTGTCAAGTTAACAAAACACTGGTAATGCAAGAGCCTAAATGAGTTGTTGTCTTTTTGTTTGTTTGTTTTGAGACAGGGTTTCCTCTGTGTAGTCCTGGTTGTCCTGGAACTGACTCTGTAGACCAGGCTGGCCTTGAACTCATAGATCTGTCTGCCTCTGCCTCCCAAGTGCTGGGATTAAAGGTGTGAGTCACCACCACCCAACTAGGACATGAAATTTATCTTAAAAAGGTTATGTATTGAAGGTTTGCCCCCTAATGCCATATTCAGAGGTAGGACTTTGGGAAAGCAACTTTATCATGAAGGCTTTACTTAATGGATTATTGTATTGTATTTAAGAGAAGAACTTCTATGTTTTCATTTACAGGAAGACTTCACAGTTTCTCTTTGAGACACCCACATTGCCAACATTACTATTCTGGTTGGGGCTATTAAATAAAAGAAGGGTTACTTAAGCACACTCACTACCATAGCTGGTCTCAGTGACTAAGGGGCAGATGGTACATACAGCGTGGGTGGATACACTGGACAAGAGGATGGTCCAACAGGACAGAAGGCTAGAAAGGAATGGCAGGAGATCTCATGAGGATAGTCAGAACTGCCCCCAACCTAAAACTTATAGATGCCATATTTGTGGAATTTTCCATTTGATGATTTGGGGTTCAGATGATTGCAGGGGATGGAAATTGTGGAAACCAAAGACACAAGTAAGGATGGACTGCTGTAAAGTTCTAGCACAAAGTCATCTTTCAACAAAGTAAGCTATTGTTAGGGGCTCAGAAGTGCAAGAAAAGCCCTCAGATTCATGTCCCTATAATTCTAAAAACAACGACACTTTATTCAATCCCCTCCCTGCTCAAATCTTCCACTACTCAACCGAGTCTCTGGTATCAGCTCCCACGTTTTGCGTGCTGGGAGGTCCAGGATGAGAAAGAGCTTGCTTGAGATCCTATGAGGGGCCCTAGAAACAACCAGACTCCATTTTAAGTTTTCAGATATCACTTCTGGGAACTCACATTTCTCCCCACTTTCTTGGGCATTGATTATGATTAACCATAACCAAACACTCTTGCTATTTCAGGGCCTAAAGCACAGAAGGTGCCTGGGAAGTCACCATTATGAGTCACCAACCAAAGGTGCCAGGGATGTATCTCTATCTGGGACTATGGAGCCCCCAACCCTTTGCTACAGCCCGAGAGGAGACCTACAGGTTCCCAGCTTCTAGAACACAGCAACGCAACTGGCTTAAGAGGAAATGGGGTGGCTCATAAGGAAGACCAGGTCCCACTGGTAATCCCCCACAGTGTGCTTGGTTTGGGAGTTCTAAGATTAGTCCCAAAAGCCTGGCCTTTGCTGGTGGCAGGCCTGTCCCCAACCCCCAATATACTTGCCTGTCTCTACATTTGTTGCTTGGACAGAAACCCTGCGGCTCTTCAGCTTCTGCAATCCCATTTAACCAATCTCCATACGTCCCGCCCCTACTTTTGATAGATCCCTTGAAGTCCCTCCTCCGCACGTGGCCCAGCCCAGGGATCTTTGCTCCCCTTTTGCCCCGAGTTTGGCATTAGAGAGCCCCTTTCCACCACCTTGGGTTGTAAGCTCTCAGAAACGAATACATCCCTGGCAGCTGGGCGAGCTATGGGAGACCCCCAAGTACGGGAAGGAGGCGTTTTCGCTGCCCTGAAACCTTCCAGACCCGCTCAGTGTAAACCGCCTTCGGGTTGTGTCAACATCCGAGGCCGGAGACTGGCGGCGGCTGGGAACCGGCTCCATCTAAGCAACGGGAATGTGGGAGGGTGGGGAATGGAGCGGTCCTTGGGGTATGTAGAAGGGTCCTTGTGGAGGAGAACCAAAGAATCCTTTCGAGGTTCCATGAGAAGTAAGGACAGAGCTGGGGTGACTGGGGGAGCCCACACTCTCATGTGTCTAGGTAAAGGGTACTTTCCTCATCACCCAGCTCTTGCTGCACCCACCCTCCCCTCTGCTTCATAGTGGGAGGGGGCACACTGGTGCAAAGACCCGAGCTCCCGACCAACCTATCTCTTCCGTCCTTCACCTTGCCACTCTGCAGCTCCTCATTGATTCCCTCCAGATTCCGGTAGGACACGGGATGGGGTCGCATCTTGTGAATCACCCCCTCTCCTACCCCCACCCCCGCTGGGGCCCAGGAAGAGAAGGCTTAGAGATTCAACTGTGGTTCTTCTGTTACCATAGCAACGGCGCGGTTGTTTTTGCGAATCCACTTTAATCATCCGTACTTTTCTCTCCAAACTGTGACCCAGGCTCTGAGCCTCAGGGTTTTGGGACAGATGGGGGTACAGCCCTCTACATTCCTGGCGACTCAGGGGAAGGTCAGCGCGGGCAGGCGGGCGGGGCGCGCTCCTGTGGCTCGGACTCACAGGCCACCCCATCCCCACCTGAAACTCCGGCTGTCACTCCGTGCCAGCTGAGCCTATCGATGTCCAACGTTCTTATGAGGAGGCGGGCCTTATGCAAATCGTGTCGCCTTCGAGAAGCACATAGTGATACAAGAGCTGGGGAGGCGGCTCCGACGCGGACCTTACAGAGCCCGGCGTCCTCCTGCTAGCCAGCCTCGTCCCAGTGGCCGCCCAGGCTCGGAGCCATCCAGCGAGTCAGCGAGCGGCCTCAGGTAATGCGGGTGGGGCCGGGTCCTCGGAGCAACCCCGCGGGGCGGAAGCCCTGAGCCCCTCCTCCCCCGCGTTCCCCTCCCATCCTTAGCTGCTCAGATCCATCTTCCTGACCCTGGGTCTGTCATAGGTGGACAGCCATCTGGAGGGCCCGCCTTGGGCAAAGGACCTTCACTTCAAGCCGCGTCCCCAGTTCAAGGAAGGCGGTACAGCTACCTTCTTACCCCCAACTCAGATAAGAACAACTATTCCTCAGGGCCCAGTGCGCGCTCACACACACACACACACACACACACACACACACACACACACACACACACACACACACACGGGGGTGTGGTGCCGATGGTGCTAGAGAAGGCTTCAGTCACCCCGTCTCCTGTTGCCTCTGGAGATGGTTGGTGGTTTGCTTAGCCCCATGAAGACCTCTACCCACACCCACACCAGCAGTTCGCTGTCATTCACCCCTCAGGGTCCTGTTTCCAAAGATAACTCCATTCTCTGACCACACAACCTCTGCCCCTTTTGCGGATAGCTCACAGTGCACCCAAGGGAAGGATGAAGACCCCCAAATGTCTTATCCCAGGCACATTCAGCAGCTACCCTCTAGTACTCCCTGAGCTAGACGGAGATCCCATATTCTGCTTCTTTTGCCCTGTCTGGAGCATGAAGTAGAGACGCCCCTTCCAAGAGACCACTCCATAGCTCCATTCTGCATACCTGGTCACGTCTCCTCTCTCTGTAATCGGTTCTTCTCTGCCCTTTTTGTGCCTGCTTGCTCCCTCTCTCTCAGCTTCCTGTTGTTTGTAAAGATGAAGCTCTACATCTTCCGTGTGGCTCGTTTTCTCCTTACCCTGAGTCTGAACATGGAAGCAGAGCCTGGTGTAACCCTTCCCTTGCCTGCCTCACTGCTTGACTTTAGCCAAAAGGCTTTTCCCTCTCGGAGTGTTCATGAGATGGGAGAAAGAGCAGGGCAGAGGAGGATTAAATGAGGTAGTCTTGAACAACCTTTCAACTCTGACATACTCTGGTTCCACAGCTGATTATAGGAAAACAAAGCTTAAACCATTAGGACATTTCTCAGAGGAGACCAGAGAGGTCCCAGTCCTCACTGCAGGGACATCCTTTTTACTCAGGTCTAGGTACAGGTTACTACTCCCTCCTACGCACCCTGCATGTTCATTCTCTTAGGGGGTCTTTTCCAGACCAACTGACCACCCTGGCATGAAAAGCTCCAAATTAAAGGTGGCCAACCCACCTCACCTTGCAGGTGCCACTTTTGCCTCTTATTGTGGAGGGGAGGAACAAGACCTGGCTGTTACTGCCATTGCCTGGAAAAGAGCAAAGGGAGGAGAGGGAAAGAGAAAAATCTGACCAGGGAGCTGTTGTCACCATGGCAACCGCCTCAGCACCAGCTCCTCTGAAGCTAGGCAAGGGTGTGGGATTATTGCCTCCTTCAGTCTCTCCTACCTTCACTGCCACCTCTCCACTCGAATCCCCTAACCCTGAGCCCGCTAGAAGAGGCCTCTGAGCACACAGAGCAAGGGGCGCCTCCTCAGCTGAAGAACGGTCCTCCAGAAGCCACCACTCCAACAGAACATGCCCCCAGCTAGGCTCTGGTCTTTGCTTTGCAGCTGATGGGCTCCAGTTGACCTTGGGTGAACCCTTCCTTTCCCTGACTCTGGGTTCCGCTGTCTCTGAAGTAGGCTTGATAGGAGATCACAGAAAAACAAAACAGTGTGACATAGTACCAAAGAAGAGGGACATGTTGCTCTTCTCTCCTAATCTAAGTGGCATTCCCCAAACATGACTGCATCCTAAGCTCTGCCTTCAAGCTTCTGCAGGGTGCTATGTGCAGGCACAGAGGGAAAACAGGAACCAATGGGGAGAGCCTCTTTGAGGCAGACAGGAACAACAGGGAAAAGGGTACCCTGTTGTTGCCTAGAAATAGTTGAAGTTCTGTCAGAAGGGGAAAAACTGTTAGCCAGAAAGACCTGGGGACTCTCCCTTTTTCTGGCAATACAAAGGCCTCCTTTGGAATACTGGATCACTAGATAAGGGTCAGGAGATGGTGTATGTGTGAGGGTTCCACACCAAAGCCTCACAAGGTCTGCCTGTACCCAGAGTGCTGAGCCCATGCTGTCGCCTGACCACTGCCCAGCCCGGAAAAGGCTGATTGCAAGGAAGAAGGTGGCAGTAAAGAAGTGAAGGCAGCTTGCACTTGTGTCTTCCCAGAGAAGAAGGGGTTAAGGGAGAGACACTATGTAAGCACATAGGTGATGTCTCAGAGATGCCTGGCTCAGGGGAGTACGTGGTGGCAGGGTGAGCAGTGAAGGGTGAAGATCAACAGGTGAGCAGCTTGAAACAAGATTCTAGATGATTCTGGGGTTTCAGAGGGTCTGGTCGTGAGTGTGTGTGTATGGGCATCTCTACCCCAACCTTGAGATGAGATGCTAGAGCTTCTGAGTGTCACCACACCCTACACTGTAACTAAGGGTGAGAATCCATTGGAACAGAGGTGTCAGGAGGAAGTCCCTTCCTGCAGGGCAGGTAAGCCCTGTGATCATGGGCCTGACTTGACAAAGAGCTTTGGCTGGGCTTCAGTATGGTGAGTGGTATCCCTGCTCATGTGCATAGCAGAGGTTCCAGGAACATTTCAAGACCCAGTGGCAGGCTGGACCTGGAGAAAGGGAGAAATTGGAAACAGTTCATGGGGTCTGTTTCCTTTTCCTTATACCCCCACCCCCAGAGGTGAAGGAGAGAGAGGAGAGAGGATAGAGGGAGAGGAGGGGGGAGGTGGGGGCAGAGAACAGTTGTTCAAGTGAGGGTGAATCTGGCTGTAGTTGTGTTGATTCAAAGTTGCTGTGGGCATCCCCTAAGATGGAATGATAGTTACTGCTTGTCAGAGACTATGAACTGCAGCTCAGACAAACCGGTCCCACTGAGACCACAAGATCAGAGCTATTTTCCCAGAAGGCAGGTGGGGGTAGAGAAGGTCTGCGCCGAGAAAGGACAGCCATGATGTAGAGAGGACAGGTCAAGCAGGTGGTATGGATTCAGCTTGGATGCTCAGCGGAACCCCTGCACTGACTGCCACTCCTGTCTAAGCCACTGCCGTCTCTCAAATTTGTTTCTTTTGCTAAAATAAGGGGGTGATCTCAAAGGGTTCTGCCTACTTAGACTTTCTGGCAATCCAAGAGAGATGAAGGGAGGTGCTTTCTGGTCCTCACTGGGTCTAGGGCCAAGTAGGGGCAGGGCACAGGTAAGGACCTCGAAGACAGAAGGGTGAGAAGGAAGCACGGGAGAGAGAAGAAAAGGAGCAGAAGGTGAGGACCACACAGACAACATGACACATAGAGACGAGTGTGCTCTGACAGATTTGCAGCCTCATACGCTGACACCCTCCTACACATAGACCCAGCCCCTCATGCAGACACTCAGGCACATCCTACAAGAGCCACGGGAGAGGTTCTGCCTCCCCCATCAGACACCTTTGCTTCCGGGCTTTCCACATCCTTACTCCTTAAGCTTACACAATCATTGGGGGAGGAGGCACCTGAGGATGGTTCCTCATTCTGCCTACAGATGGGTGGTCCAGAGGCATCCTTGACTCTGGCCCTGGCACAGTTCCAAGCTCCTAAAGATAGCATGCTCCTTGGCTTCTCCTATAGAATTCTTCATCTTCTTGGGGTGGTAGGTTAGTAGCTAGGGAAGGATGTTGCCACCTTCACTGCTCCTTGATCTCATGATGCACAGGAGGATCTTGAGGTCCAGAGATATCTTGAAACTATCTTGCGGAATATTTGCCTTGATTTCTGTGTTCATCCCACTGCTAAATCCAGCCTTCAGTCCATCTACATCTCTCCATTTGAACTGTATGCCAAGTCCCTCCTTGTACTACTCACCACTCTCCACCTCCGTCATATTTTATTAAAGATTTGTTTTTATTATTTTTAATGATGTGTAGGTGTGTGTTTCTGCCTGTGGGTATGTGCACGTGAGTACAGGTGCCCTGGGAGCCAGAGGTGTCAGATGCTCAGGAGCCGGTGTTTCATATGGTTGTGAGCCGCTTGACATGGGTGCTGGGAACCAAACTCGGATCCCCTGGAAGAGCAACGAGTGCTCTTACCCACTAAGCCCTCTTTCCAGCCCTGCCCTCAAGTCATCTTGCACATTGCAGCTAAAGGAAAAACTCACAAATCTCTGGATTTCCAGGACATAGATCAGGACCTGGCATATTGTGAGTGTTCAGTGTTAGGGAATTAATGGTAGCTTCCAAACTCTTGCTTTAAAATCTCCAGGTGGCATACACCTTTAATTCTGGTACACGGGGGGGGGGGGGGCAGAGACACGGGGGGGGGCAGAGACAGGTGGATTTCTGTGAGTTTGAGGTCAGCCTGGTCTACTGAGTGAGTTCCAGGATAGGTCCCAAATCTACAAAGAAGCCCTGTCTTGAAAAACAAACAAACAAATAAATGACCTCCAGGTTGGTGTGGTTTGAAGGCTTTTTGCAGACAGTCATCTAGAAACTTTGCACGAGCTACTGAAGACTGGCTCATCTTAGCTTTAGCTTCATACCAAGTCCAGGCCCCCAACAAATGCTCAGGGAGTGAATGGGTTAATGAAAAGCAAAAAAATGTGATCAGGGTCATCAGGGCTCCAGGAAGGGAAGAAGGAAAGAGAGAGATGCTTCCTGTGTGGGGCTCCTGGGATGGCCTGGAGGAAGAACTTGGGAAATGGTTCCTGGGGGACTTTGCTAGAAGCGGAGTTTGCCCAGGAGGGAGGGTGCTGAATGCAGACAGCCCTTGCTAGCAGGGAGAGTAGTTGAGGCTTGATGCTAGGGACCGAGGGGATGATGAATGGAGGGAGAAGTGAGAATGAAGATTAGGCCACACTGTATCACAAGTCACCAAGGGGATCAGTTGCCACCAGGAAAGGCTGGAAAGTCCTGCCGGAGGGGTCTGCTCTGGGGCATAGTGTGCTGTGAGGGGAGAGGGAGACCACTACCCAGTGAAGACAGGCTTCCTTTGAGGAGGTCGGTGAGTGAAGGCTGAGCATGTTGAAGGAAGGTGGGGCTTGCTGAAGTGGGTCATCAGGGAAGGGGGGCTGCCGTGGGAAGAGGGGTGCTGACTTTAGGAAGAAGGCTCCTCATGGGAGGGGAGTGTGAAGAAGGTCCAAGTGGGGCAAGGGTGGAGACCCACTTTACAGAGGTGAGGTCCTAGCTTGGGCCATGCTGAGCGAGCTGTCTGTCCTGCAGGCCCACCATGGGGAAAAACAACAGCAAGCTGGCCCCGGAGGTGCTGGAAGACCTGGTCCAGAACACAGAGTTCAGCGAGCAGGAGCTAAAGCAGTGGTATAAGGGGTTCCTGAAGGACTGTCCCAGCGGCATCCTCAATCTGGAGGAGTTTCAGCAGCTCTATATCAAGGTGCAGGGTGGGGCGTGGCATGGCGGGGTGGGCGGGTACTGGGGACCTGAGAACTGGTGGGACTCAAAAGGATGCGGTAGGCAGGGAGGGTGGGTCTGGCGCTGCACCCCAATAACCCGCACCCCTGCCTCAGTTCTTCCCTTATGGAGACGCCTCCAAGTTTGCACAGCATGCATTCCGCACCTTCGACAAGAATGGCGATGGCACCATCGACTTCCGGGAGTTCATCTGCGCCCTTTCTGTCACCTCCCGTGGCAGCTTCGAGCAGAAGCTCAACTGGGCCTTTGAGATGTACGACCTGGACGGCGACGGGCGCATCACACGCCTGGAGATGCTGGAGATCATCGAGGTGCGCGCGGGGGGGGAGGGGAGGAAGAGGAGGGCGTCCAGTGTTCTTGAGCCTCAGAAGACTCCTAGCTGTTCCCCAGCGTCCTCCAACCACAGTTCTGCAGGCCCCTTGCTCAATGTTTAACCCGTAGGGTATATAGTGTCAGATACCCCATTTTCCCAGAAGAACAAAAGGGAGCATGTGGCTACCACCACTTAATCAAATCTAGAGTAGCCATGTCAATTCACTTGGGTTTTCAAGAAGTAAGGATTGGGGTCTGGAGAGATGGCTCCGCGTGTAACGGTGCCTGCTGCCAGGTCTCATTACCCGGGTTTGACCCTGGGAGCACACATAGCAGAAGGAGGGAACCAATTTCTACACATTTGTCCTTTGACCTCAGCCTGACCTCAGCCAGGCCATGGCCTTTGCTCTGTGTAGCTTTGGAAGCAGCTCTGTAGACCAGGCTGGCCTCGAACTCACAGAGATCCGCCTGCCTCTGAGTCCCGAGTGCTGGGATTAAAGGCGTGCGCCACCACCGCACGTGTTTGTTTCATAGTTTTGCTTTTAAAAAACATCTTAAGTATATGCCATGCGCTTTCATAGGAGATCCTTCTAGTAAATCAGTAAGTAAATTTGGGTCATGCCAGGCAGTAAATGGTATGAAAAAAAGAAATAAGCAAAGTCAGGGTAGGGAGAGCAGCGGAGGAAAACTGGGAGGCGCTAACAGGCAAGGGCAGAGTGAACCACCATGCAGGTGAAGCTGTGTTTGCCCGGCTCACAGCGTGGCAGGAAGCCAGGGCAGTGGCAGCGGTGTGAGCGGGGCTCACAGCGTGGCAGGAAGCCAGGGCAGTGGCAGCGGTGTGAGTTGAGGGGAGAGTGTCAGGAAGACGGTCCCACAGGGAGACAGGGTCCCCTCAGTGGCTCAGGCTAGGGTAGAAGCATTGAGTGTATTCTGAGTGTGGAGATCAGATAGTTGAGGAGAACGTGGGCAGAAGAGGCAGGCAGACCAGTGAGGAGACTTCCACAGAAATCCAGTCAGGAGCTGGTGGAGGCTGCCTTCGTGCATGAACAAGTCTACAGAGGGCCCGTTACAAAATTAGAGTTGACATTTTTTTGCCGAAGGATTGGATGTGTGTGTGTGTGTGTGTGTGTGTGTGTGTGTGTGTGTGTGTGTGTGTGTGTGTGTGAGGAGGAGAGAAAAATAAATGACGTGAGAACTAAGCATGGTTGCTTTCCTCTGTAATCCCAGCACTCAAGAAGCTGAGGATAGTGAGTTCAAGACTAAGCTGAGCAACATATCTAGTTCCAAGCCAGCCTAGGCTACAAGTGAAACATTGTCTCAACAAATTTCACAAAGGATGGCTTGGGGGTTTTGTTTTTGCTTTCAGTCTGGCAGAGTGAAGTCCTTACTTGTTGAAGCAGAATTCTAGAGACACAACAGGTGAGAAGAGGTTAAAGAGGCGTGATTCATTTGAAGTGCTCATTAGGTAGACAGATTTTTTTAATTGATTGGGTGTGTTAGTGCACACCTTCTTTTTCTTTTTAAAACAATCTTATTTTACATATCAATCCTAGTTCCCTCTCTCTCCCATCCTTCCACTTCCCCCACCATCTCCCCATCTCACCCCTCATCCACTCCTCAGAGAGGGTGAGGCCTCCCATGGGGGATCATCAAAATCTGTCACATCATATCCCCCCTCACACACACTCCCCGCCCTGTGTCTAGGCTGACCAAGGAATTCCTCCATAGGGAATGGACTTCAAGAATTGGTGCACATCTTTAATCCCAGCACTCAGTAGGCAGAGGGAGGTGAATCTCTGTGAATTCAAACCCAGCATGGTTTACATAGTGAATTCAAAGTTGTCTACATAGCAAGTTCCAGGCCATTCAGAATTACATGATGGGTAAAGAAGTGTGTGTGTGTGTGTGTGTGTGTGTGTGTGTGTGTGTGTGTGTGTGTGCACGCACAGGATGTGGAGGGATGCATTTCCCTAGTGTCGTGTGAGGTCAGAGAACAACTCTGGGGAGTCAGTTCTTTCCTTCCACATTTATGTGGGTTCTGGAGAACAAACTCAGGTCATCAGGCTTCTGCAGCAAGCTGCTTACCAGCTGAGCCATCCAGTCAGCCCTAAGGAGCCAGTCTTAGCAACCATGTGTCTCTTTCTGGTGTCTTCAGCCTCCTCCAATATCTTCCTGGTTCATGCCCAGACCCCTTCCATCCATCCTCAGTCCTCCCTGGCCGTTGGGTGTTCACACCTCTCTTTACTCCGTCAGGCTATCTATAAAATGGTGGGCACCGTGATCATGATGCGGATGAACCAGGATGGGCTCACACCCCAGCAGCGTGTGGACAAGATCTTCAAGAAGATGGACCAGGATAAGGATGACCAGATTACACTGGAGGAGTTCAAGGAGGCAGCCAAGAGCGACCCGTCTATTGTGTTGCTGTTGCAGTGTGACATGCAGAAGTAGAGGCTGGTGAGGGGCAGGGCCCCTGGCCAGGACAGGCATGGCACCTGATATCCTCTCTGCTGGCCCATCCCCAGGGGGAGGGGCATTCCAGCCTCACTCTCTAGGTCACCCACTCTTCTGCCCAAGCCTTTCTCTCCTCAGTCAAGTTCTGTGAGGGACCACCTCATCCTGCAAAAGAGATGGGTCTCTCAAGTAGTCTGTCCTCAGATAGTCTGTCTCTAGCTCCACCTCTAGTCTTGGCCTAGAACCAACATCCTTTGGGCTTAGGAGAGTTGGCTTTTGACCCAAGAGGCGAGGTTAGGGAGGGGTTGAGGACTTGCTTCGAGATCCTGCTGTTCCCAGGATTCTGCTCTAAATAAGCAGTGTGGTCCCACAGGCACCCAGTCAAAGGACCAAACTGGGTCTCTCCTCCCCAGATTCCTTGAGAGGCGGTCTCTGCCCTGCCCCCTGACTCTACCTGGCTCCTCTGGCCCGGCCTTTGGAACGGTCCTTGAGTCCTTCTTCCTTCAGCTAATGCTTGCTGAGTACTTGTTCAATGCCAGGCACCTGATGGTGCTAAGAATATGGTTGTTTACAAAAACACATTCCATGCCCTCTGGAAACTCACAGGGTAATGAGACAACTTCCAGGGGTGGAGGTCTTAGACAGGGATGTGGAAACAGCTGAGATGAGGGTGCAAGGCAGCTGGCAGGTTGGGGGGACTGGTGTGTCCTCCAGCTAGCACCCCCAAAGCTGCAGAAAGACCGAATGAAAAGCCCATGGAAGTTTAGGTGCCACATGGGTAGAAGTTATAAGAAAAAAAGTTTATGTAATATTTATTTTTTTAGTGCCCTTTCAAAGAGCTAAGATCATTTTATTAGACAATTAAAATATACTCTACATTACTTGGTTTCTTATAAAAATGATTTAAATGACTATATAAATGCCAATTTTCAAGGGGGGGAAATGTTTAGGCAAAAGAATGGGGCTACCACCAGACTTTGAGAACCTACACTCTCCCATCAGCCATCCTGCTGCTCCTGCTACTTCCTTTTATTACCTTTTTAATTCCACCACTGACTTTCTGTCGCACACTGTGGGTGCTGGCGTCAGAGATGGAAACCCTGAGCCAGAGTGGTTCATACCCCACATCTCAGCGACTTGTTTCTGAGTTTGGCTTGGTTTCAGGGAGTGGCTTGTTCTTTCACAGCTTCAGGCAGAAGGAGCTAGAAGAGAAGGATCTTCTGGCTTCTGGGCTGCGTTTAGGGACCAAATGACTGGAATGTGCTGGGCATACGTACTCCACGTGAAAGGCCTTTTCTAACCCCTCCAACCTAGATCTGCCAGGTAAACAAGTCCATCGCCTTCCAAGCTCACCAGCTTTGCTTTCTGAACCTTAGGGTCTGTGAGCTAGCTGTCATGCTGCACGCTTTCCAGAGAAACCCACCTTGCTTCTCCCAGCTCCTCACTTTACTTGTGATCTGGAGTTAACTTTGATGTGCGGTGACAGTTGACTTCCTCTTGAACCGCTGTGCAAACTGTCTCAGATGATCTCAGGCAGGGTGGGTGTAGAGAATGCTTGTGAAGCCGGGGCGTGTGGTGGTGGAGATTGCCCTGCAGCAAGGATGCTCTCTGCCTGTCAGTTCTCATCTCCTGCTGCTAGAAACTTTTGGAGATTCTGACCTGCGCTCCAAACTTCTGTCAGACCTTCCTTCTTCTGGTGTTTGGAGGTTGCAAGACACCTTCTTTCTGTCCTGCCTATCTGGGCCACGTGGGGAGGCTGAGGAATTCAGAGCCTCAAGTGATGCTAGCAGGTGTTTATCTAGCGAGGCTTCATGGGACTGTTCCATAGCTCTCATGAGCTGCCTGTTAAGTATGTCTTGTGCTGTCATCAGCACTACAGATACAGAAATGCTCAGCAGCCTGGCTCAGCTGGGACATGAATTTTCTAGTGAAAAGCTTTTCCTCCCCCACCCCCCAAACGTTGAATCTAGCTGAACTCATCACGACGATGCAGAAGTCTTTGGTTTTCAAAGGCTTGTATCTACTTGCATCTCATTTTGTCTTCCCAGCCCAGGAAGAAAGGGGTCTTCAGGACCTTTATCCCAGTCTTGGAAGGAAGTCTCTTGGTAAGAGCAAGCAGTCAGGAGATAACACAGTGCCGAGATTTGAACACAAGACTCTCTAAAAGACTTCCTCTGCCCCATTCATTTCTATGTCTGTTTGTCCAGATGTTGATTGCAGGACAAACTGACTTTTGTCTTTCAGAAGCTCCCTGCCAAGAAGTTTCTGAGGCTATGTTCTTCCAAAATGGAGGAGGAGCTTGAAGTCTCTCCATTTCAAGCATCCTCTTTTCCACTTCCGGGCAGCCTTACATGGACCAGTACTGTTCTCGGAGGCTGCTAAGCAAATCCTGGAAGCATCTAACATCATCCTTCCCACTACCTTCCTTCCTGAGAGAATTGCTTTGTCTTTCCAAGATGATAGGCAAAATCTACCCATGAGACTGATCACTCTAGGCTTCTGGCTGCTTATTCATGGCAGTATTTGCTACTTAGGTCAAGGGTTTTGGACAGCTCAACAGTCCTAAAACTGTCTCTGCCTTCTTACTGATGGGAGGAGCCACAGGCAGGTTAGGGGTTGCTCCCACATTCTCTTGGGTGTCTAGAGCACTGTATGCCCAGGAGACTGGGTGGTAGAGCACCCATCCATGCCTGGAGAAGAGAGATAGGTCTCCCATGTTGGCTTCAACTTGGAAAGCACTTGCCATGAAGCGCAAGGCTAGCAGAGATCTGTGCATGGCTTGCACAGACATGAAAACATAGGCAGTCAAAACAGTAATCTATCCAGGTTCTCCTTTGAAGTTCTGGATCCTCTCACAGAAATTCTGTGAATCGCCATGGTTCCAGATTCAGCCTCCTCAAACCTGCTCTCCTCATTCATCCTTTCTGGCTAAGTGATGCGCTCCTTATTCTCGTCCCTGAAAATCATCAGCGTAGGCTGCTTCGCTCAGGTGCCACGCCAGTCTGTGCAGCCGCACAATTACTAACTCCTTTTTAAAGTCAAGAAGAAAATAAAAACAAGCTTGCTAGCAAAGACACTGATTCTTCTCTGCCCTGGCAAGGGCAAAGCCTCAGAAGCAGAAATCCATTTGACACAAGAGGCCGTGGGAGCAAGGAAAGAGGAGAAAGTGAGCTGATCTTCCTAGGCAGGGCAGTAATGAGCTGACACTGTAAATAGTTTTTACACAAAAATTTATTAAAGCAAAAGTTATTTCCTGAAGATCCACCCTGGGTGAGGCTTTGTGTTGACTTTAGAAATCAGCATGGGGTTAAGAATACATTTCTTACATAGCTCCTTCATTGTTCTTAAAGAAAGAAATAATTCATGTGCTCAATTTAAAAGTCTTAGAAAAACATGAGATTTGTTCTCTAGACTTTCCAGGGTTTTCTCTTCTTAGCTTTGTCAGAGTGTGGGGTCAGGGCAGGGCCTCCCAGGATGCATGGGTCTCTCTGCTTGGTGGAGGCTGGCCAGATCCGGGGCCTTCTAAGCGACAGCAGTGAGGAAGCAGAACCCCATCCCCTGCAGATGTGCCGCTTATAGCTGTGCCCACAGCAGCCATCTTCAGTGACCAATCCTGTGCCGTGTGGTGTGTTTCCCCCACTGACAATGAATAAAAGGTGTGACTGTGCAAGGCCTCTTCGTAGTCTTTCCTAAACTGGCTGGACAGGGTTAGGGTGGGGCGAAGGGAAAGCGGCCCTGGGGGAGTCCACAGAGCGCCTCAGAAGCTTGCTTGGGACCAAGCTAGATCTTTGGTCTGGTGGGGAATCTAGTCTTACAGCGTAGAGATCCACTTTAGCTACTTCAAAGAGAAAGGGACAAGGATGGCAAAGGTCCCACTGGCAGACAATTCAGGACACTTGGGCCAGGCTGGGGGCGCAGCTCAATTAGTAGAGTATTTACTCAGCATGCACAAAGCCATGGGTTCAGTCCTCCCCACTGCTTAAAATGGATATGGTGGCACATGCCTGTAGTCCCAGCATTTGTGAGGTGGAAGTAGGATTAAAAGTTCAAGGTCATTTTAGGCTATTTTACTGACTTCCAGCAGGGCCTGGGATACATGAGTACTTGTCTAAGAAGCAAAAATAAAACGGTCTGGGCTTGGAGCTGGAGAGATGGTTCAGTGATAAGGGCACTGACGGCTCTTCCAGAGGTCCAGAGTTCAATTCACAGCACCCACATGGTGGCTCACAGCCATCTCAAAAGGTATCTGTTGCCCTCTTCTGTATGGTGTCCTCTTCTGTCATACTAGCACACATGCAAATAGATGACTCATATGCATAATATACATAAATAAATACTTTTTTTCATGGTTTTGGCCTCTAAACTAGAACTGGCAACTGGCAACTGGGCCTCTCCCTTTTCAGCCCTGCGGTCATGGGCTTTGACTCTCTGGGTAATGGTATGTATATTGTTTGTTTAAGACAGTCTCCCACTATATAGCCCAGCTTGGTCTTACTCTCCTAATCCTCCCTTAGCCTTCTGAGCACTGGCATTACAGAAGTGTTCTACCATTCCAGGAAGGATGTTAATGGCAGGAGACATCGGTAGAAGGCATCCCAAGAATCCAAATGAGTGGATAGTAACTGATGGCTATGAGCTGGGTATGTTGTTTTTGTGGAAATCAAGAAAAGGCACTCTTCTGAGTGGAAGTAAGTATGCAGTTAAGCAGCAAACAGAACTTTTGAACTTATTAGAAAAATATAGCCTGGCCATGGTGGTACACACCTTTAATCCCAGCACTCAAGAGGCAGATGCAGGTGGATCTCTGTGAGTTCCTGGACAGCCAAGGCTACACAGAGAAACCCAGTCTCAGAGAGGGAGGGGAAGAGGGAGAGGGGGAGGGAGGGAGGGAGAGAGAGAGAGAGAGAGAGAGAGAGAGAGATGCCAGCCTAGTTTGCATAGTGAGCTCACATAGTGAGACCCTAGAGAGAGAGACCAATCCCCCTTGTAGAAATGTCATCCCAGTGTGCTCAGTTTAACAAGGAGAGCACATGATGGATTTCAGCCCTCACCTGCCCTGCTGGTCAGAGTCATTGTAGTATAACCCTGCTCCCCCACTCACAGGGACCCAGTCTAATCCCCAGGAGTTCCTGCACTGACCCAGGCGTGGGAGGAAGTGGAGAAATGCTCTTTTCAGAGTACCCCCTCAACAGCCAGAGGGGTTTGGAGGCAGTGGCAGGTCGGGGGACTGACTTCCTTCTGAGACGCTCGGTTGCTTTTACAAGGGTTTCCTCAAGGACACCTGGAGAAGGCAGCTTTCTTGGCAGGAAGCAATTAGGACAGAGGAAGTCGGCTGACGTGCCTCAGGGTAACCATGGACCAGAGGAGGGTGGCTCAGAAGCCTGACTCAGAAGCCGGGAGAACCTGAAGTTGCTGGCCCCAGCGGAAGCCACACTGCAAGATGGAAGTCCAGTCCCCTGCCTGCCTGGAGGTGGAGAGGTCCTGGGTTGCCTTCTTGTCAAATCCCTCAATGTCTCACCAGGCAGGTGGATGCACCTTCTGTTACGATAAAGCCAAGGGGAGCCTTGCCAGATTCCATAGCAGGCGAAGGTGGTTGAGGCAGGGGACAGACACGCCAGGCAGACAGAGCTTAAGTGAGAAGTTTTATTAGAAAGGGGAGGGAGGGGGAAGGAAAGAGAAAAGAGGTAAAGAGACACAGAGATACAGAGACAGGGAGAGGACAGAAGAGGAGAGGGAGACAGGAAAAGTCCTGTCTGCCCCCAGGGGAACCGCAGGAATGAGAGCAGAAAGAGAGCATAAGTGGGCAGGGTTTGTCTTTTAAAGGGGTCCTTTTGCACCTGCGTGCAGGCTAGCAGTCATGGAACCTTGGGCTGACCAGGGTACTGCCTGAGTGCATTCTGCCAGGTGACAGGGGCAGGCCAGCATAAGGCTCGAATCCTTACACCTCCTACTTTCAATATTACCTTCTACCTCACCTACAAGCCAGGGTAACCTTTTTAAAGCACAAATCCTATCATGTCATCTTTGCAAGGGGCCTTCCCCTGCATTGCGATCTGTTACTTAAATATGCCACAAGGCCCTGCAAGAGCTGGCACTAGCTAAACACAGAAGCGTTGATCTTAAGTTCACATTTTCCTCCTGCACCCTGTGTTGGAGCCACCCTGGATCTCTTCCCTGGGGTCTTTTAGATTTATATATTCCCATAAGCCATTGCTGCTCTCTGGGCCACTGGTTTCCCTCAATCTTTGTGAAGCCTTGCAACCCTCCAATAATAGCCACTCATGTTTATACAATCCATCACAGTCAGATAACCTTCCTGTGTGGTTCCCAGGTAGCCAGGCCAAGCACATTTGAGTCTCTCTAATGATTTGGATACGCAGTGAGGACCTAGCTGGGGAAAGTAGGTCACTAGGCATGGGTTCTTGTGGATACAGTGTCCCTAGTCACCTTCCCTGCCCCTCTGGTCCACATGAGGAGTGTCCCATGCCTCTTCATGGAATCAGAAACAACAGGTGTTTGTTCCAGCTATGCTAGAACGAATCCTCTAAAACCACAAACCAAAATAAAATCTTAACTCCTTTAACTTGTTTCCGGTGGGTAATTTGTCACAGCTACACAAAAGTGACAAATGCCACCTGCTTTCCTCAAAAGGTGGAAATGAAGGCTCAGAGAGTTGTTGTTCTGCCTTGGGGGCTTGATCTCAGATGAGCGACATCAAGGTCACTGCTTACTGTGCTTTCCCAGCGATGGAGTAAACCCGAACCAGACTGTGAACCGGGCTAGCAAGCCAAGGGTCTTGCCTGGTGGAGACAGTAAGAGGTGATGGTTACATGAAGAAGTGGTACATGCCACAGGTCTCACTGAATACCAGCCAATGGTGCTAGGCACGTAGGGGCAGGATGTGCAGGGGAGCATCTCAGAAACAAAACCTGAACAAAAACACAAGTTAAACAACTCTTTGGCTCACATAATTAGAAGCTCAGGTCTCACTGGATCTGGAAGATCGACATGGGACCCTTTCCCACTGCCCGCTCTCCCTCCCCTCGCCTCCACCCTCTCCCCTCTCTCTAACTTCATGACCTAGACAGGCGTCTCCGTATTCTTCCTCCTGCTCACATTAGCCCCAATTTAAACCTCAATGGAATAGCCCACCACGGTGTCACAGGTCTTTAATCTCAGCACTCGGAAGGCAGAGGCAGGAGGATTTCTGTGAGTTTGAAGCCAGTCTGGTGTACATAGGGACTTCCAGGACAGCCGCGTCTACATAGACAGATGCTATCTCAAAAGCAAATAACAACAAAAAAACAAAAATAAAAATGACAAAACCCAAGGGGTTAAAAATATAAGTCTCTGGGCATCCAAGTAATCACAGGGACAACACCATTATTCGTTTATCAGCAAATTCAGGGAAATGGTCGACCCAGTGTCAGAATATGCTGCTCCCTGAGTTTTGGAGACACATGGCTCGTTAGAAGATGAAAAGGCTGAGGAAAATGGTTGCATCAAGCAAAATCAACAGCCACCAACTTTCTTCTGGGACTTTTTTGAACCTAGGGAAGCACCCCATTTGGAAAACTGAGCTAACCTGTTTTCAAGACCCCAGCCCTGCTGTAGGGAGCTATTATCCACTGCTCAACAAAGCCCCATTTATTCAACCTTTAAATGGAAATCTGGAAATAGTCATGGTAGCCTTTTCATAAGCAGAGGCAGCTCCCTCTTGGGGCAGCAGGTTTCTCTTATGGGATCCTCTGTCCATATTTACCTAGTGATCACCTACCTCAGTGTGCCCACAGAGCCTTCTCTGCCCACGTGCTTTCTGTTTTAGATGGAGTATAATGACACTCTGCAGAGGCTCATCTAGGCTGCATGTCATCTTCAGTCACGACAGAGGCTGATGATCTAACCCCACATCCTTTTTAAAAAAAGATTTATTTATTGTTTGTTTGTTTATTTATTTAGTATGTAGTGTTCTGCATGCACATATGCCCGCAGGCCAGAAGAGGACACCAGCTCTCAATACAAATGGTTGTGAGCCATGTGGTTGCGGGGAATTGAACTCACGACCTCTGGAAGAGCAGCTAGTACTCCTAACCTCTGAGCCACCAGCCCCCCCATCCCCATTCTAAAGAAAGAAAAATTTGACTGGCAAGGTCATCTTTTCAAACCAGTCACACAGATCCAAATTACTGGGACTGGATCACCTTTACGTAAATAAAGCACTCATCCCCATTCATTCCAGGCTGGGAAAGGATACATCGGAACCTACTTGCCCCACTTTATTTTTTAATTTCCCCTCTTCTCACCCAAATCTATGCTACTGGAGATGTTTCTGTTTACTCCAGATAGAAGGCAACACCTAAAGTGATCCCATCCAAACCCAGCCTACTGAACCGGTGAGCTCACTGGGGTTACATGCAGGTGTGTGGGTGATGGTTATTTACAGGAATGTGGGCAACTTGGGGAAACTGCGTCACTAAAAAGCCCAGCACGGGTGATGACTCAAGGAAACTGCAACGTTGGCGTTCCCAGTGCTGCTTGCAGGCAGCTACACCTCCAAAGGTGCTCTCCTCTCCTGGCTCACTTTGCTATTTATAACATCGGGAGGGGACCCCAAGTCTTTAAATCTTCCTGGGCTTCCTCAGCCTTTGTAAGTTTCTTGGGCTTCCGAAGCCCCCAGAAGGGCATGTTTCAATCAGGAGGAAGCAGCTACGGAACAAGGCTTACTTGGTTCCTCCCAGGACACGGTGGAGACTGGACAAAGCTCCACTCTTTCCCAGGTCCCAGGCAAAGGATGTCTCGAGCTAGGCCAGTGTTTTTCAGGATATCCTATCCACCTCTGAGAGATGGCTGTGCCTTGGGGCAGATAGTACAGGGATCTGCACCAATACGGACGAGACCCTGAAATTCTAAAATGCTAGGCTATAATTCGTTGGGTCCCAGACCCCATTCCTCCCTTCTCTTCCTCCAACTATCTCACAATTGTAACTAATCACCCTGAGTTCAGCACCGGGGACCTGGAAATGCACGCCCTCTGCTGGCACACGGGGGAGTGTACATGAACCCGGCTTCAGAGTCCCTCTCTCGACTGCGTTGTCCACCAGGCGAGCATAACATCGCCCTAGATTCAAGTGCCCCTCACCCGTATGTGGAAGACATGGGTCCCACACTTGCCCCCACCTGTAATGAAGCTCCCTGTTCATAAACGAAGCTGTCCGTCCACCGCTTCTCTGGGTTCAAGGATGGATCGGGATTTGAGAAAAGGTGGTTGATTGCGCAGGGTCCTAGGATGCTGGCATCCAAGGAACAAGGGGCCTGTTAGTTCGGAGGAGGGCTTACCTATCTATTTCCTGCTTTGAGAATCACCGTGGTTTTTTGGGGGGGGAGGGCAGTTATTAGGCTTCTTCTTTTCTCGGTGTCCTTGAACTTCATCCCTACAACCCTGAATCCGTGGCGCACTACAAGCCCAGCTCCAGCCGGCCTGCTCCAGAAAGCAGGAGTCACCTGCCCCCAATTTGCTTCAGACATGGGTCGGTCGGGGAAGCAGAGCTCAGCCGTCTCCTAAAGGCCAGCGGCCGCTTGTCCCCCACCCGCGGCGGGCGGGCGGGGCGGGCTCACTCGCACTCCCTCCCGGCCCTGCCCGCCCGCTTCTCCCGCCCGGGACGCGCCTCGCTCCCGTAACCCAGTCCTGCGAGCTCCGCGTCTCCGCCGCCGCCTGCTCCCGCCTGGCCGGATCGCATCCGATCCCGAGCATGGAACCCGGACAGCCCCGGGAGGCCCGCGAACCCGGGCCAGGGGCAGAGACCACCGCGGCGCCGCGCTGGGAGGAGTCCAAGACTTTCTATGACAATCTCTCGCCCAAGAAGAAACCCAAATCGGTAAAAGCAGGGCTTGGGTTTGGGGAACACTGGAAGGGCCACTTTCAGGGAGGGGTCTCAAGCTCTCTGGAAAGGACTTTTGGCGCCCCTCCCGGAGGGGGACACTGCTCCTCCGCCCCAGAGTGTGCCCGACAGTTGGCTCAGGCTCCAGTTTATTTTGGGAGCTCTGCTCTGGTGGCGGTGTTTTTTTTTCCCCCATCCCGGGCTCAGGTTCCACGCCAGGATCCCCCTCCCCCATGCTGTCATCAGGGGCCTATCCCCTCCCAGCATTGGCATTGGCGGCCCCGACGCGCGGACCTCACTTGTTGGCAGAGCTGGTCAGCAATCCGGGCAGCAGCGCTCCGGGCTCAGTAACTCGACTCTGGAAACCTGGCTGCTCTCTGTGCTCTCAGGTCTTCAGGATCTGTGAGGCTAGCTCAGCTTCAAACCTGGGCGCTTGGGCTCTCACTGGAGACCCAGGCTCTGGGATCAGAGGTTTCGCTCTCCCTGCATGTTAAAGAAACTGAGGCTTGCTCCATGCTCAGCGCTTTGCTTCCAGGCTCTGAGCTCCCAACGCTGGGCTTTTACATCTCAGACATTGTTTCTGATTCATGGTGAGCATTAACATAACAGGAATCAGAGTGGTGGCATCAGCCCTTTGCAGCTTCACCCAGAGGCAAGAATTCCTCTTCCTCTATTGGACAAATCCATGATACCTCGGTCTAGTTCACGCCACCACCTAGTAGCTGTCCTTAAAGCATCCCACTGCTTCGCTCCAGTGATTTTACCCAGGAGGCCACTCTATCCACCGTCATCTCTAGGCCTTCAGTCATCCTGGTGACTGAGATACTAAGCTGTGCCTGCCTGTCTCGGGAGTTTGCTGTGTGCCCAGGAAGCTATAGAGATGGTGGATGCTCAGGTAAAAGGTCTCACACGGTACTGTGGGAGCACAGGGGAGGTGACTCCCACCAGGAAAGCTTTGGGGAAATGACATTTGAACTGATCTTAAAGCGTCAGTGGGTGTGGCCTCCGGGGCGGGGGAGGGGGAAGGAGGGACAAGAAGCAAGGGGCTCTCTTTGAAGCGGAGAGCTTTTTCAGAACCTGCACTGAGTGGGAAATGCAGGAGTGTTGTGAGAAGTCTTACAAGGAGCCAAAAGGGCTCCCATCCCAGGGACAGCCCTGACAGGGTGAAGGGGCCTGGACTTTATTTAGTGGGGTTGAGGCTTTCATACTGGGTTCTGTGGTGATCATTGTCACAGGAAGTCTTCGGATCCGTGAATCCAATTTATTTATTTTTCTTAAAAAAATACTTTAAGCCGGGCAGTGGTGGTGCACGCCTTTAATCCCAGCACTCGGGAGGCAGAGGCAGGTGGATATCTGTGAGTTCGAGACCAGCCTGGTCTACAAGAGCTAGTTCCAGGACAGCAGGACAGTCTCCAAAGCCACAAGAAATCCTGTCCACAAAAAAAAAAAACTTTAAATAACTGAAAAAAGCAGCTCTTGTCATTTTCAAGTATTTAGTGATGTGAATCAGGGCCTTCTCAGGACTGCAGAAACATAAAAATAAATTGGCTGGATACTGAGAGCAAGTCTGTGGCAGCAGCGCCCTAGCTACTTTCAGATGCATTGTTACCCAAACTGTTGAATTCATTGGTTAGCTTTGTAAATAATACATTCATGTAGATGGCTTGGTAGGAAGTAGACACCACATCTGAATTGTAAAATAACTTAAAGAAATTTTGTAGTTGGCTAATATTACATGTTGGGGTTCTGTCTAAGACTTCTTTTGACTAAAAGGTCAACCTACCTTTTAAAAATATGAAAATCATAATGGGATTGTTGCAGGATCCTTTTTTTTAAAGCAGGGATTATCTTGTTTCCACTTTCATTTTATAAAGATGATGCTGGGCTGTTTATCAGGTGGATTGGGAAGGCTGGGTGTGGCTGCTGTCCTGCCAGTGAGGTAGGCAAGCTGTGCTAATGTCCTGCCTGAGGGAAGGGGAGAGATGGAAGCTGGGAAGCAGGAGTGAATCTTCAGTGCTCAAAAGTCCATTTCCTCCCCACAAGCATCTGAGAACCAGACCGTGGTCAGTCATGGCCCCTTCATCAGTCCTTGAACCCTAGTCTGATTAGGTGACATTCCCAGTCCCTATTCCTTCCTGTCATAGCCCCTCTTCCCACAGGCTATTTTGGGGGTTGCAAGCCTTATGGGCCCACTGGGGCCTGGCCTGGGCTCATTTTAATTCCCAGGAAGTTGAGTAAAATACTTAACCTAGTGAAGGCCATCAGAGGCCCTGACCCAGAGCTATCCTATTCTCCTCTCACCAGGCATCCCTCCTGTGTCCTTCCAGAAATAGCAGTTTGTTTGGCTATGCTCCTATCTTGAGTGCAATAGACAGATTGCTGGTCTGAGGGGGAGCTCCTCGGGCAGGTCAGTGGCACTGGGCTACCCTCTGTTAATTCTTTACCTTCACCCCAAGGCCACAGTGAAATTGCTGAGAGCTGATAAGATCATGGTTCCCTACAGCTCAGCACTCGCAGGCTTAGCCCCTCAGTGATTCTGACCCAGTTCCCAGCCTGGAGTGAACATTCTGATTTTGGTGCACATCACAACATATGACTTGGGTGTTAAGAGACCTGTCAGGGGCAAGATGGGCAGTCTACAAGCTTCTCTGGGCTCTGGATAGAGCTTGTCACCATTTCTTCAGACACACCTGGAGGCTGGACAATCAACCTACAGGTGCTTGGCTCCTCCTCCTCATTTATGCTGCTTCAGAGTGACTTGAATAGGAGGCAGAGGCCTGTCCTGGGGACCATCACTCTTCAGGGGAAGAGTGCCCCACCATGAAACATCACGGGGACACAATGCTTCTCATCATTTCTCCCAAATATAGAAGGGGAAGCTGAGTTGTGTCCAGGGAAGTTGTTGAAGGAACAAAAGGTGGGTTTTCTGGGAGAATCATACCAGGGAGGCTGTTATGCGAAAAGAGGCAAAACTAAAGGCTAGAGACTTGAGAGCCTGTCTTGACTTTCTTGTGTGACCTAGAGTGACACCCTGACCCTCTCTAGCCCTATTTCCTCATCCATGAGAGGGAAGAAGACACTTCTAAGGCAAAGGCAATCAAGACATTTTTTTCTTGCAACAGCCAGGAGTAGGATCTGAGGGATTTGGGGTAATCCAGCTAATGGTGACCCAAGGTCCAGCAATCTGGCAGGGGCCGTGAGACAGAAAGTGAAGAACACGGCTTTGGCTGGCTGCATGGATGGAGCCAGATTCAGGGACTGCCTGAAGCAGATGGAAGGCAGTGGATTCTCCGCCTTTGCAGCAATGACAGTTCTAGCCCTAAAGCTCCCAAGTGCTGATGAGGCTGAGAAATGGCCCGGCCCCAAATGGGTATATGGACACACGGATGGTCAGAAACTGGCAAAGTTGGACTGAACCTCAGAGGAGAGGCACCTTTGCCACTATTGTCTTCCATTGGCCCTCCTGGTTGAAGTTAAAAGCCAAACACAAACTGTGGTCAGATATACAGCTTTGCAGAAATCTTTGGTTTTTCCATTCTTATTTTGAGGCTCTGAAGCTTCACTGGCTATTATCCACAAGAAAACTTCTTAAATTCATTAAAATTAAGTGAATTTAGGGACGAGGGATGGCTCAGTCGGTAAAGTGCCTGGGGTTTTCCAGCAGTGACTTCAAAGCCATGTGTGATGGTTGTGCATGAGTCAGTGGGTGGAGATGGATCTCTGGAGCTCAGGGCTCGCTGGCCAGGGTAGCCAGTCAGTGTGCTCCAGGCTTAGTGAGAGACCCTGTCTCAAAAAATACAGTGGAAGGCAACGGAGGAAGACGCTGACGTCCACTTCTGGGCTCCACACATGAACACGCACTCGCACATACACACATTTATTTTTTAAAGCAAGCAAAGTTAGATTTCAAATCTTCAGCATCATCTGTCACACTTGAAGTGACTGCACAACCACACAGCACAGTTCATAGAGCATTTCCATGAAGGCCCAGCTTCTAGAGCTGTCCAGGTCACAGAGAAGTGGTGGCCAGCCAAACACTCCCTACACACCCCTAGTCTGGGTTCCTCCAACTGCTGTCCATGGTGGCATGCTCCTCTCCCATTTCCTAAACGATGGCATGAATCTCTGTATGGAGAATGGGTCAGAAACTCCTGGGGGACAGAGATCAAACTTATCTTGCTTCTTAACATGCCTCCCAGCTTAGCCTCATTCAGTGCTACCAATCAACTGGAGCCCAGCAGTGAGTGGAAAAATCACCCACAAGATTATCATGAACAAGCCAGAGTTTTGGGTCCACTTATAAGTCTTGATTTCAATTTGAGGCCCTCTCTTCTCATCTGTAGAGGATCATGACCCTAGGACTGTCACAGTCACAGAAAAGCGGTGTCCATGACCTCCTTGAACACCCATATTCTGATCTTATCCAGAAATCAACCAGGGTCCAGCTGCTGTTCATGGTGGCATGCTCCTCACTCCATCTTATCCAAGTCAGATGTTTTGTTCCATTTGGGTTTCTGTATCAAAGTGCCACAGACTGAGCAACTTACACTGTCAACAAGAGAAAATTCTTTCTTGCAGCTTGGGAGCCTGGGGATCCAAAACTAAGGAGCCAGAAGCCTGGGGTCCTTTTTCTGATTTAAATATGGCAACTTGTAGCTATGTCCTCACATGGTGGAATAGTCAGGGCAAACTCTGATGATTTTTTTCTAAGGAAAGCCCTAGGCTGGGCGTTGGTGGCGCACACCTTTAATCCCAGCACTCGGGAGGCAGAGGCAGGCGGATCTCTGTGAGTTCGAGGTCAGCCTGGTCTACAGAGTGAGTTCCAGGACAGCCTCCAAAACCCTGTCTCAAAAAAAAAAAAAAAAGAAAGAAAGAAAGAAAGAAAGAAAGAAAGAAAAGGAAAAAAGAAAAGCCCTAACCACTTCCAAAGGCTCTACTCCTTAATATTCAGGACTATAGTTCAGCATGATATTTGGGGGGTACATTCAGATATAGCATTTGGGAAGAAGTGCTAAGACCCTCTCGTGAGGAGGCCCCTTTGAAATCCAGCCACTGCCTATTCTTCTGGCTTGTTTACACTCTCCTCTGCCCTGGCCTCTGCTCACTTCTGTGAAGGCTTTGAGTTTGTGCTCACCAATTCTTGTGGTTTCCCTTCAAGGCCTTCCTTCCTCAAAGGCCTTCTCTCCCCAGTGACTTCCCCTGAAAATAATCATCCAGACCTTGCTCTCACCTCTGTCACGTATTCCCATGGCCGTGCCTCTTCATCCTGTCCACCTGTCTCCCCCATCCCCCACCCATGCCCTGATGAGCTCTGAGGGCAGGAGCCATTTCTTCCTTCCAGAGCCCTTCCTCAGCAGTTTCCTCAGCAGACTCCATAGAGGAAGCCACTGGAGTGGAGACCCAGAGTGAGGGCACGCGTCAGCGAGACAGAAGGTGTGGGAAATAGTACGCCGAGCAAGCGAACATCGTGTTCAAAAGTCAGAGGGCAAGGGGAAGGTGTGTGGAGAACAAGAAAGGCGAGACTGAGCAAAGCGGGGAAGGGGAAGCAGGAAGGAAGCAGAGGTCTGTTATGAAGGACTTGGTCTGTGGGACAGGCCGTCTGCTTGACCCTACCCCTGATGAGGTGGGCTGCGATCATGTCTGCACTTTGGACAGACCCTCTCACAGTGTACGGGGTAGAGGTGATGATGGTCTGGGCTGTGGAAGAGAAGAAAGCGATCCCAAGCATGGGTGGCTTGGACGCTTAACCAGTGCGGAGGGGAGGTGGGGGGCTGGAGGTTTACTGCCTGGCTGCGGCTGGCTGCTCATGAAGAGTAATCTGGATGAGCGGATGGTGGTGCTGAGCACAGATGTGGAAAATGGGGGGGGGCTCAGCTTCGGGCACTGTAAGTTGGGTTGTCTCTGTTGGTTGACTGGGCAGTTAGATATGTGAGTCTGCAGCTCAGGAAGCAGATCCAGGCTAGAGATTAAAAAAATGTTTTTCTTATTACTGTGTTGCTGGGCACTAATGTCTTCCTGAGGGCAAGCAGTTCTTCTTTCATAAGGGAAACGTTTGGGCGTCATCTCAGTGCGGTCTTACTTTGGCAATATACATTGTGCTCATTTTTCCGTGCTGTCCCGGTGATCAACAATATTGCAAGCTCCCTGCGGCCAGCCCCTCCTCCCCATCACACTCCTAAATTAGGGGACAGTCCCCAGCAGAGTTCGGCCAGAGTCTGCCTCTGCCCAAGGCTGACTTCTTTGGAACAGAGCCTTGGCCTTCTCCACGTCCCTAGGTGTAGGAAGGGCTTGTACAGCGCGCCTGCCTCCGGGTGAGTCTGAGTAATGACCTGTCCCATTGTCCTCCTATAGCCAAAGCCTCAGAACGCAGTCACCATTGCCGTGTCCTCCAGAGCCTTGTTCCGCATGGACGAGGAGCAGAGGATCTACATGGAGCAGGGTGTAGAGGAGTATGTGCGCTACCAGCTGGAGCACGAGAACGAGCCCTTCAGCCCCGGGCCGGCCTTCCCCTTTGTGAAGGTGAGGGGGCAGCTCCCGAAGCAGCCCACACGATGCCTTTGCAAGATGGCAGAGGCAGCCCAGCCCCACAGCTAGAGGACAGAGCCTTGGTGCGAAGAGGCGGCCACCAGGCTCAGGACTGATGGAGCCCCAGAGTGGGTAACCGGCTTGAGGATCAGTCCGCCTTCATCCATCATTAGCGAAGTGCCTCTGAGCAGTTAGTGAATAACGGACACGGAGGTGGAAAATGGCATTAGAGGGCGGTGCGCACAGATCTCGTTCCAAAGCCTGTCCCTAGCCTCCCCTCTCCTTTCTCACCGAATCCCTGGCCACCCACTCCACTCATCAATCCCTGGGACTCTGAACTGGGCTTTGCGCTCTCCCTTCCAGGCCCTGGAGGCTGTGAACAAGAGACTTCGGGAGCTGTATCCCGATAGCGAGGATATTTTTGACATAGTCCTCATGACCAACAACCATGCTCAAGTGGGAGTCCGTCTCATCAATAGTATCAACCACTACGGTAGGCTGAGGAGGATGACCATGGGATACCAGTACCACACACGCCCCCTGGGGGAAGGCCACACTTCTGCAGGTTCAAGCTAGGTCAGGCCCTACAGCGGTCACACTAAACCCAGCGATGTTCTACTAACCTGGCATTGTATTGTATTTTTTTTTAACCTTGTCTTTTAAAACAAATACGTCTGGGGTTGTAGTCAGACTGGTAGAATGCTTGCCTAGTAGGCAGAAAGGCCTGGGCTCAATCTCCAACACTGCATAAAAACTAGGTGTGGTGTTACATCTAAAACCTTCACTCAGGAGACAGGGGCAGGACGATCAGGAATTCAAAGTCTTCGTTGGCCACATAGTGAGTTCAAGGTCCACCTGAGATACATGAGAGCCTGTTTTAAAACAGACAGACAGGCAGACAAGGAGCTGAGGAGCATGGCTTAATTGATAGAGTGTTTGCCTGGCATGCATGAAGTCCTTGGTTAGATCTCCAACACTGCATTAAAAAACAACAAAAAGTCATAGTGACATACAAGCCTGTCACCCCAGCATGAGTGCCATCTGTGAAGGAGAGGCAGAAGACCAGTAGCAAATCTTCAGAAACATAGTGAGTTTAAGGCCAGTCCAGGCTACACATGACCCTGTCTTGAAAAAAAATTAAAAAACAAGACTATAATGCTGTGTGTGTGTGTGTGTGTGTGTGTGTGTGTGTGTGTGTGTGTGTGTGTGGCACGAACCTTTAATCCCAGCTTTTGGGAGGCAGAGGTAGGTTGATCTCTGAGTTCAAAGCCAGCTTGTTCTATAGAGTTCTATAGGGCTACATGGAGAAAAACCTTGTCTAGAAAAACAAAAGCCAACAAAAACCTGTAAGAATAAAACAAAAAAAACTGATTTGAAATGCTGCCAGGTTACAAGGTGTGGTCCATGGCCAATTTCTGGCCACCCACTGTTGATCAACATAACTGGCTCATAAAATTGGATATTTAATAACCAACTCTTGCAAGCCGGCACAAGCCAGCTGCATCCTACACTACACAGGCCTCACTCCCTGTGTTACAGAGAAAGGCGTTTACTGGCTCTGTCTGAGTTTCTCTAACTGTAGACTAGCAAGCTTCGTGAGGCTGATGGGAGGTCAGGGACTGTTCAGACTGAAAGGATGCTTCTCTTTTTGGTTCACTTATTATTATAAGTTCTAAGTCTCTCGGAGCAAGCTTCCAGCGAAGGGGACCATTGCCAGTTCCAGCATGACTCAGAACCACAGAGCAGGAAGGAAAATTGGACCCAGAGAGGCCAGAATCCAAGTCTTGGTGATCTCTCTTGGGTTTGTAATCTCTCTGGGCCAAATGTGCCTTTGTGCTTCTTTAGCAAGCTTTTGCTTATTCCTTGTTTTCATCTCTAACCATAGTTTCAGGAAATCTGAACACTCCCAGGCCCTCTTCTGGCCTCCACAGGCATCAGGTATGCACACGGTGCACAGACACACATGCAGGCAAAACACCCACACACATAACATTTCTTAAAAGGCAGAAACCAGGGCTGGAGAGATGGCTCAGTGGTTAAGAGCACTGGCTGCTCTTCCAGAAGACCCAGGTTCAATTCCCAGCACCCAGGTAGCCACTAGTAACTGTCTATAACTCCAGTTCCAGGGGATCTGACTCACTCATATACACATATATACAGGCAAAACACCAATGCACATAAGATAAAATAATCATAAAAAAGGAAAAATATTCAGCACCAATTCACCTGTCTTTATAAAAGCCTTACAAGATCTTGTTTCAAGCATCCCACAACCCATTTAAGGTGTTTAGTTTATTTTAAATTACTTAATTTTGATACATGATCTTATTATCTAGTCCAGGCTGGCCTCAGACTTGAAAGCCTCTCACTCTAACCTTCCCAGCACTGGAATTTCAGACACATGCCACCCTTTCTTCTTTCTTTTGAGAGAGGGTATCTCTGTTTAACTCCAGCTGCCTAGAACTTGCAGAGTTCTGCCTGTCTTTGCCTCCTGAGTTCTGGGATTAAAAACATGTGCCACTACACCTGGCTTCACTACCTTTGTAAATTTCTTTTAACCTGTGTGCGTGTGCGTTTGAGGGTGATTTGAAGGTCAGAAGAACCATCAGATTCTTTGCAGCTGGAGTCACAGACAGTTGTGAGCTGCCACATGGGTCCTGGGAACTGAACTCGGGTCCTTTGGAAGAACAGCCAGTGATTTTAACCACTGAGCTATCTCTCCAGCTCCTTCACTACTTTAAACTGTGTTTATTTATTTATTTTGGATGCTGGGAAATGAAACCAGGGCCTCTGTAGGCTATGTGTGTGCTCAACCTTTAAACTACACCCTTAGTCTCCAGTTGGCATTTATGTTATAATACTGATTTTAAATTTCTGAGTGTGAGGGTGAGGTTAACAATATTTAAGCACAGGTGCTGAGCAATCAGAACAGGCAGCGCTCTGTGCTTGAGCAGGGCCCCGGGAGACCTCTGTGGGGTCAGGCATTAACCTTGCCTATTGTGGACTGTGGGGACAACAGTCCTGTAGAAGGCACTTGGTGGTGACTGAGGATAGCAGCCACTTGTCAGCCAGCAACCGATTCACAGCTTTTGCTGCCATGGGAACAAGCTACCCAGGATGGACTCTGATTGGCTCAGCTAGGTCCAGAGTCTGCCCCTATTCAATCAGCTGTGACCAGGGAGACAGGGTCTGAGTAGGAGGGGTGCTGTGAGCCAGATGCTTTCTCCGGATGTGTGATCGTTTCATTCCCTCGAGAAAAGATGCAGGGAAAATGCTAGGCTGAAACAGAGGGTCAGTCTGCTGCCACACCACTCAGATCCAAGATGACTCACACTAGGCACAGAGAGACCATTCTGGGGCCTGAAGTTTGACCCTGGCCTCATCTGGGGACTCTACCTCCACAGACCTGTTCATCGAGCGATTCTGCATGACAGGTGGCAACAGCCCCATCTGCTACCTCAAGGCCTATCACACCAACCTCTACCTGTCGGCTGATGCGGAAAAAGTTCGAGAAGCCATTGATGAGGGTAAGTCAGAATGAGGAGAACACTTCCCCAGACATAAAGGGATCCCAGTGGGGAGAAGCCTGGTCCTGAAGCTCTGAGCAAGTGCTGGGGTTGCCAAGGTAACTGCAAGGGGATACATTCCTATGATCTGTCTTATAAAGTGAAAAGAAAGCCCTACCTAATCCTCCTTACCAACTCCTGCCCCACAGTGTACTTTCATCAGCATCACCTAGCCCTCTGTTTCCATAGAAACTTTCCTTACAGCCCAGAAAGCTACTGCTTTCCAAGATTCCTCTGGGATGATAGGAGTTCTGATTCCTGTGTGATCAGGAAACTTCTATCCATTGTTGAGTGAAGCCTTCGAGCCAGCCAGAGAAAGGGTCCAGACCTTTTACCCCTCTGGAGGCCACATCGTGACTCCCTGTGTTTCTCCTTCCCAGAATCCTCCTCGACTCCTAGTCCCACCTATCTTGCTTCCCTATTGGCCAACAGTGCTTTATTGACATATACACAGGACTTCCCCATCAATCCTTCACTGGGCCAATGAGAAAGACGCCAGGTTCATATTTAGCCCAGCCGGGGTGGTAGGCTTTCAGAAATGGTCATCTGGGCTGGCTAGTGCTATGGTGAGATTAGGGGACTCCTGATTATGAAAAGTGCATTTCCTGTTCCCCTTTCAAGGGGCAGTTTGGGGTGACAGACATGGTCTCAGTCCTCCCAACAGGAGTCCACGGAGGAGGGAAGACTGACTGCCCATTTGCCTGGATGTGTACTCAGGCCAGACACTCAGGGTTCCTCTGTCAACTGTCCTCTTTTCCTTTCCTCGTTGTCCCTCTGCAGGTGAGACTTTCTCTAATCAGGGTCCAGAGGGCATTTCCTTAGACACATCACATCCTTTGTTTGAGGTTTGGGAACTAACTAACCTATAAGTGTGCCTCTGTGCATGTGGAATTTGACTTTTGGTCTCAGGACTGTGGTTAGATGGATGTCCTGTTCAGAGCAGGGGGCTTCTGGGTCATCTTGACATTGGGTTGACAGAGCTGAGAAGATATACAGCCTGATACTCAGGATTGCTCCTACTCTGGGTATCCTTAGGCTAGTGAAGCCGCTGTCAGACCTGTACTGCTAGCTCTTGCCAGAGCTCTGTGGAAGTCTGCCTCCGTGATCTTGGATTCCCAAGGAGCAGGGTAGAAGAGGCCTTTAGGGAGATGATGACTATTGAGGGGGATTCAGCTTTAACCTGGAACCTCGGTCCCTGACCAGAGTCCTTGCACCCCAGAGGAACATCGGTTGCAGAAAGTCTATATACATTTTCACAAGTAGTTTATGATGTCTCCCAGGACCAAGCAATGTTATCTCACAGTCTGAACTAACGTGACAGCAGTGTACCTGGGTGCTTGGTGGCTGAAGACAGGGTGTCCACACCTGCCTATCCCTACTGCAGCCTAAGGGCTCAGCCTCATACAGACCTGGAAGAACCTTAATTTCACTTGGCCCAGAGAAAGTATGTAACTTGGAACCAATAGTGAAGGAGTAGCTGCACCTTAAGATGTGCTTCCCTGTCTGCTATAGGTTCATCTGGGTGAAGAACTCCAAATAGAACAGGGTCACAGGAGTCCTGTGCTGCCAGCCAAGACTGTTGTTTGGCTGGTCCGCACCAGTGTGGTCTTAAGTGTTAAAGTATTGGAATTTCCTCATGCTGGCTGATAGATAGCTCTCCAGTGTCCTCCTGCCCAGGGACACCCCCCAGAGCTCCCCACAAAGATGATATTAACGAGATAGCCTTTAGACCTTGATGGGGACCCTCAAAGTGATGCCACAGAGCTATAGCTGCTGCACGTTCTTATAGCCAGTACTCACGGACTGCCGATTTTAAAATGCCCTCAATTGAGTCCTTGTCTGACTTGCCGGGGAAACTGGAGGAACAAGGGCAGAATGAGATACCTTCTGCTGTGCCCTCACAGACAACGCTTACCTCTCTCTGCGCAGGGATTGCAGCAGCCACCATCTTCAGCCCCAGCAGGGACGTGGTTGTGTCCCAGAATCAGCTCCGCGTGGCCTTCGATGGGGACGCGGTACTCTTCTCCGATGAGTCAGAGCGCATAGTCAAGGCCCATGGGCTGGACAGATTCTTCGAGCATGAGAAGGCCCATGAGAACAAACCTTTGGCACAGGTGCTGCACATTCCCAGAACCCCTGCGGAGCCCCTCATTCCCCAGAACCTGGCCTGGCTTCAACCCCCAGCTCAGGGCCAAACCCAGGCTAAGACCACACCCCCACCAGGTCCTTTTACCAAGACTCCACCCTCCACCCCGTCTCTCTCTTAGGTTTTTCAAGACAGGGCTTCTCTGTGTAGATCTGCCTGCCTCTGCCTTCTGAGATCTGAACCCCTTTCTCACTTGGCCCCAGGGTCCTTTCAGTGACTCCGCCCCTTCACTGAGTCCCACCCTCATGCAGTATCATTTCCCACCTCTTGGGAACTCTGAAGTCTCCCCAAGCATCTCTCTGAAGCCTCCCCTGCCTCCCTGCTTTGTTCCTCCAAATCCCTAAAAATCGGAGCCACACCCCCCAATCCACCTTCCTTTCCCTGTCACCCTCAGCTCTTCCCTTAAAATCCCCTTGAGTGAGCGCCCATCCCTCCAGAAGCCCGTTTCCTTCACTGGGAGACAAGAAGAATTCTCTAGTGTACCGGTGTGGGGAGCTGGGGCTGTGCCTTGATTAAGTGGCTCCCGGAGCCTCACCTACCCTCATACTCAATGGCTCCCCGAGAAGAGCATGTGTCTTGGAGCTTGTCAGATATTTCCTGTGGGTGGAGCAATGGGATTCTGCAGCCCTGCTGGGAACTCCAGTTTGAGCTTTTATAGAAATCTAGGTGCCCAGGGCAGGACACTTTTCCCACTAAGTGGTTGATAGAGAGCCAGAGGAATACTGTTTACCCCAGGTTACGTTAGGAAATCCCCCAAGCCTAGCAGCCCACTTTCCTTGTTTCCAGTTGCTTTGAAAATGAGCTACATTCTACATCATCCAGTTCTTTGTTCACATACCGGCAGCACCTCCATTGCTGTGGACACGTTCCCTGACCCTAGAGTGCTTGAGCCCAGCGCCCTGAGCCACATGTGTCTGTCTGTCCACAGGCAAGCTCATATTCAGTAGGTACACACTGGCCTGTCTGGCCCAGATATTCACATAGAGAGTACATTCTGTCTGGCAGGCTCCCGTGCCATCATTACTAGCTAGTTTAAATTCCTTCTTTTCTAATGAACACAGACAACCACACTTACAGGACAGATTGCTGAAGGAGACACGGATGGATAAGCCTAGCAACAGTTGCCTGGTTATGGTTATGCTGGCACAGCCCTAATCACATTAAGACAGACCCCAGATGCCGGGCGTTGGTAGTGCACACCTTTAATCCCAGCACTCGGGAGGCAGAGGCAGGCAGATCTTTGTGAGTTCAAGGCCAGCCTTTGTGAGTTCAAAGCCAGCCTGGTCTACAGAGTGAGTTCCAGGACAGCCTCCAGAACAATTCAGAGAAACCCTATCTTGAAAAACAAACAAACAAAAAACAAACAAACCAAACAAAAGACAGACCCCAGACTACAGGTATCTACAACCCTGTATGTTGTTAGCCAAAAAGGCAGAGCAAAACTACCAAAAGATTTAGGGATTTCCCAATAGCCAGTCACTGGTGCTGTAGGATGAGAGGGCAGATGTTTAAGAGAGGGGATCTTACAGTGTCTCCTTAATTCCATAGGGCCCCCTGAAAGGCTTTCTGGAAGCTCTGGGTAGACTGCAGAAGAAATTCTACTCCAAAGGCTTGCGGCTGGAGTGCCCGATTCGCACTTACTTGGTGACAGCGCGTAGCGCAGCCAGTTCTGGGGCCCGGGCCCTCAAGACCCTGCGAAGCTGGGGCCTGGAGACCGACGAGGCCTTATTCCTAGCCGGAGCACCCAAGGGCCCCCTTCTTGAGAAGATCCGCCCACACATCTTCTTTGATGATCAGATGTTCCATGTGGCCGGGGCTCAGGAGATGGGCACAGTGGCCGCCCATGTGCCTTACGGTGTGGCCCAGACACCCCGGAGGGTGGCTGCTGCAAAGCAGACTCCAAGTTCCCAGTAGCAGAGTCACCTTGCTCCAGGCTTCCTGTCACACTTCTGAACCTCATCTGGTGAACTTTCCTGGGTCCTCACTGTCCACGCTCCTGCATGCTGCCCTCTTCCCTCTGCTTAGGTACTGTAAGGAACTTAGGAAGACCAGGCCAGCATTCTCGCAGTCCCTGCTGGGCAAACATTGCCGTGATCCTGGCTAGGAAAGCGGGCTCTGCAGGGTAGCTTAGATGTCGTGGGGAAATTGGTGGGACTGAGAGTGACATGGCCGGAGAAGCCAGGGCGCCAAAGGCTTGGGATAAAACTGTGTGAGAGAGAAGGTGGATTTGGCATCCAAAGCAGACCTGTCATGGACTGCGTGACTTAAGTCCCTTTTTTTCATAAGCCTCAGTTTATCCCCCTCTTTTAGGTGGTTTCCAAGCCATCCTTTAGTCAAGGCTTGGTTTTACAGGATTATGCCCTAAATGAGTCATCCTGTGCGGGGGCTGCCAGTACCTATGGCACCTGTGTGGATTACAAGATGACACTCTGTCTAGGTGAATGAATGACAAAAGTGACGGCCCTTCCTCTGGCCTGAGCCTGAACACAGGCTAGATTCCAGCCCCTTGCCCCTCAGCACTGAGGCATCAAATGGGAACTATGCACAGTACTACACAGCGGCCCTGCCTGCATCTTGCCCTGTTTGGAAACTGCCGCACAGGGTGACCTGTTGCTTCCTGTGATTTGCTAACCTGAGTCATGGACTGTCTGCTGCCAGGTGGGAGGTTCGTGGAAACAAATGAGGGGAGGAATGTAGCTCACATGCTAATTCTCCTCTAGCCAGCCGGGGGCACTGCAGGCTCTTCCTGGAGTGGGCTTTAGTGGCTTACCTGCTCTGGGTTTCCTTTGCCTTCAGTTTTTAAGCAAAGTCCAGTAATTCTGCCCGCCAACCTCCTCACCTCAGCCCTGGGTGTACTAGTCACTGCCACCTGTCAGGGCGTAAGGAAGGTCTCCCAGCAGCGAAAGAGAACTCTACCCCCAAATATGGAGAAAGCACGGGCTCTAAAGTGAGTGGTTGTCCAGGCGGAGTCTGAGGGCAGGCTGCTGCAGAGAGGCGTGGGAGGTGTCAGGTCTGATCAGATCTGAGACAAAGACGCTAAGGACGTGATGGCTCAGAGAAGGATGTGCTGAACGTGCCTGATGCTGCTGTGGAGAGGGAAAGCCAGTCAGAGTCACCCTGGAAGAGAGGAGCTGTCACTGGGATGCTGTGCAAAGGATTCTGGGAAGAGCTGATCTCCCTGAGAGGTACCAGTGATTGCTCCACCTTTGCCTGAATCCATGCAGCCCTTTCTTCTCCACAGTGAGTGAAGGTCCACTTCCTCCCTTGCTAAGCAGCCCTGGCGCTCAGGGGAAGGGTGGAAGAGTGGATGGTCGGTCCCCTAGGAAGAAGGGGCAAGCAGACATTATTGCCTGGCTCCCACAGGGATCCCAGCAATGAGGAGACCTGGAAGCATCATAGGAGGGCCAGGAGAAGAGCCTGGAGATGGGGCGAAGGTCAACTGGAGACTCTAACCTCTGTCTTTCTAGGCATTTGACTCAGGATCTGAAGGAGTACATGTTCTGGGCAGTGTGTCTCGGGGTAACAGCTGAAGGAAGGAGGACAGAGAAGGCTCAGGAGTTCCTGGAAACAAGCACCAGCCTGGGCCAAACGAAAACCATGAGACTGAGCGTGCATCTGTGTCTGCAGCGTGAGGACACTGCTCCTGGAAGGCAGCGACGCACATGAGGTAGACACGGTCGCTTTATTGAGTCATTGGCATTATCGCACTGGGAGGGCACAGTCATTTTCACCATCATAGCCAGGACCCTTCCGGCCAGCAGGAGGCCTCAGGGTAGAACAAAGTCTGTAAGGGGCTTCCTTCACTGGGTCTCCACGCCTGGCCAGAGATGCTGTGTGACCTAAGAACAGCTGCAAGGAAATGAGGAGTCTGTCTTCACTGGACCACCCAGGAGCCTTCTGCCATGATGCCATAGTCACCCCCTTGAAGGATGTCCTCCCTGGGGCTCACAGTCGGTGATCACATGCTTGTAAGGATATGTAGTGTCCTTAGGCAGCCCAGTCCGAAAAGGCCTGTGTACTGTGAAGACAGCACCAGATGTTGCCAAATTTGGATGCTGGGATGCATGAGGTCTAATGTTCAGGGCCTGGTCCTGCATACTGCAAACCCTTTCAGGTTTCTCAGGAAACAGGGATGGTACCATGCCAGAAGCAAGAAGATAAGGTGCAGTAAAAAGCTGTGGATGTCACTGGAGACACCATGAATAGATAGATGCAGACAGCCTGCACAGTGCAGAAAGGTCTAAATTCTATTATTGAAACCAAACATGAGCATCTCAAGCCTGGACAAAGGCTTTTGGAGCTGGAATAAAAGGCCAGAAGTCCTGGAGGCAGGCTCCAGCTTCAGCCAGCCAGTTCTCCTGATGGACTCCAGGGCTGAAGAGGAGCCTGGCAGCACGCAGCATTGTTTATTGTGTTACCAGGAGATTAAAAAACCAGCTGACCATCAGAGCCCCAGGCCCAGCCTCAGACTACAGCGCTGGGGTAGAAGAGCCAACCGTGCCCAGAACACTGGCCCCCTAGGCCTGGCAGAACACTCCTCCTAGGAAGTGCTTGCTTGCCAACAGAGTCCCAGGCCCCGTGGGACTGCTACTCAGCAGAACAGTAGCTCTGGTTGTTACTACATGGAGACTGCTAAGGTTACTACAGAACTCCCTTCGGGGGAGGGAAATGTGACTGGACATCTGGCTGAGTCAATAGAGTGCTTGCTTATGAATATAAAAGCCTGGCTTCAACTCAACAGCATTTCACAAGCTAGGTATGGTGGTGCACACCTATAATTCCAGCACCCCTGAGATGGAGGCAGGAGGAGTCAGAAGGCCAAGGTCGTCCTCAGATGGGTAACCAGACCAAGGCACAGTCTGTGCTACACCAGACCCCATCACAAAAAGAAAAGGGCAAACCCTCCCTCCCCTACATGACGGCACAACTACACCAGTGGGAATGTAGCAGAATATGCTAAAAGAAAACAGAAGCTAGCAAGAAGTTCATATCCAAGACAGACCCGATGTTACACCTCAGTTCAATTGGTGTGCAAAGCCACGATCAGAATATCAAAGCCCCTCCATAGCATGTGGTGAATAGCCCTTCCCCAAGTCCCTGGGTGTCCCTTGGTAACCTCAGATGCCCTGGCCCTCTTCTGGGAATGCGGCACCTTCCTGTGATCTTCAGCCTGCTTGAGGATACAGTACTGTGGCTTGTGTCTGCTCTCTTGAGGTGACTGCTGGGACTGTGGAGACACCAGGGTCTGCCCCCTGCCTCTTGAGGCGTCCTGGAAATACTGACTAACTTGCTCAAAGTCACCCAGCTAGTAGGTGGTAGTGCTGGGACATCTGTCTGATGCTGGGGCCTGGATGTCCATACAGTGGCAAGAGAAGCTCCAGTCTGAGGTGTTCAGGGAAAGAACTCACTGGAAGCTGACCCGTTGAAAAGCTGGCACGCATTTCAGCAGACACATTTTGGTTAGAGCATCCTGACTAACAGTGACTTAAATTAGATCATGTGCAGTCCTACTACACCACAGCAAGCTGTGTGAAGCTCAGTTTGCAGATCTTTGAGTTGAGCTAATAAAGGGTTTAGCCATCTGAAGACTCTGAGACCAAACTGGATCCATTGCCTGCTGTCATGAAGAAGCATCTGTGGTTTTAACCTGCATGCCCACTGGTTCATAGATGCACCACAGCAGCAGAAATTAAAGGTATCAACAGAAACCCCAAAGCCAAAAGAATACTTTCTATCTGACCCTCTAATAGGGAATGTCTGCTGACCCCTGGGTCAAGACAAACACTGCTGGACCACTGGGACAAACAAGGTTGCATCATCCTAAACATTTAAGGACAGAAGTTGGCTCCACTGCTAAGGGGAAGAGATGGGGACTCAATGACTGTCTAACCCTTTCCTGACACTCAAGGATTTACAATTCCAAGTACTGTCATTTGCAATTTGGCTGATGCATAAATTTGACACGAGTCAAACTGAATTTGCCCTCTCAAGCTGAAGGGTAGGGACCAGGAAGGACAGGACTTGGCTACAGGTAGCTTTGCTGGCCCTCCAGCCCCCATCTCTACAGCTGTAGTCTCGGCTCCCCATTGGCCTCAGGGGTGAGCCTGATGCATGCTGGTAAGCGGATGGCTGTGAAACATGGGCTTTGAACAAAGTGAAGTGTCCAGTGTTGACTCCAGCAGCTCAGATCTAGTGAGCCATCCTCATGCACTCTCTGAAAACAAGTTCTCAAGGGTCCCCAGGACGCTTTGGCTCAGAAGATACTGATGGAGTGAAAAGTGCGATTCCACTAGAAGGTGGACGGTTTCCCCAAATACGAGATATAAGCAGCCAAGCCACCCTTACAATGGAAGTTTTCAGAATCCACTAAAACATGGCAAACTATCTCACCTACTGTCACCATCCCATCATGATACTATCCTTACAAAACCCAGACTTGACTTCAGATTCTTCATACAGCATTTCAGGTAGCCTGCCCCAGCTGGAGGTGGCACGGAAGATGGAACCTGGTTTACTAACTGCCTGTGTGGATCGGACCATTGCTTTCTAGCAAGCAGGCATGGTCCTTACGTTACTTCTCTGATGCTGTGGTGCAACTCCAAGGATGCCAGTTTCTCACCTGTTTCCAGCAGAAACTGTTGATGAGGATGAGGAGGGGGACCATTGGCCCCAAGGCTGGTAGCTTTGCGGGACCTGAGACAATGCCCTGGATTATGTCTTTAATGCAAGGTGTAGAAACCTCTCTTGCCAGTAGGTGGCACTGCAGACTGGCACTCAGCTGTGCCTGTAGTTCATGGTTTGCTTTTCTCTCCTTCCATGCTACAGTGACCAAAAAGGACTTCAGGTGCTCTGACAATGTTTGTGAAACATCTCTGTATGATGAGCTGATGGCTCTCACCGAAAACCACTGTGATGGTGTGTATGGAGAAACACCCATGACTGTGTGAGTCTGTGTTTATGGGTGTGAGTGATGGCCCAGACTTCTCTGCTGCTGACTGTATGTGTGCACACATATATGTATGTCTGTGTCTCTGTGTGTATCACACACACTTGCAAGCTTGGAGTGTGTACAGATGGCTGTCCCTGTTATTTGAGGATCCTGGGCCCCACAGGCTGATGGCCAGCATCACTCCTCGGAATTGGTCCTAGCTACCCTCATCATCTCACGGGCATGGCCCTAGCTATTCCCAGCATCTCACGGGCATTGCATGTGCCTTGCCCGAGTGCCACGGAGGCCAGACCTCCGTCTTTCAGTTTTCTGCTTCTGTTCCACTTCCGTTGCTTCTGAACTCTCTGTCCCCTGCCCCTGTGGCTCTGCAGCTATAGGGAGGAAGTGTAGAACAGACCCTGCCTGACTTGATCTCCACGCATAACTTCCCTTCTCTAACAGAGCCAGGGTTAATGTGGTCTCATTAGGAGCTATGCTACGGCCACAGCTAGGCAAGCTGACTTCCTTCCAGGCCTCCTGTTCTTGCCAGACATGATTTACCTTTGCTCTTGACTGGGAAGTGTCTCTCTGATGGGACACACCCCAACAAACCCAGAGGCTTTAGAGACAGAATCATCTTTACAAAGTTAAGAGCTTCCATAACGCAACCCAAAACCCTGCAGTCTCACACTTCTGGCCAAGACTGAATATGCCCTCATTGCTCAGCCACTAAGTTAGGGCAGAGACTTGAGGCTAGACTTGTAGCTGACACTGATGAGAAAATTGCCAAGGACATTGCAAACACACTGTGTGGATCAGGGTTCATAAATCCTATGTCTACAGGAGCCACACAGGAAGCAGATAGGAGCAAGGGGCACCAGGCTAGACCTTGAGAAGGGAAATGGCCTCCAGGGTCCTGTGTACCACTGCCACATAGGAATTTGGGCTGTTGGGGGTCTGATGCTCCACTGTGTTTTTCCTTTTTTCTGAGAAGCTAGAAATCTGAACTTTAAAATATTGGCAACTATTTCAAATTTAGAAAACACTGTTCAGGCCAAAGGAAGCGTGTCTTGTTGGCTAAATCCAGCCCTCCAATCTCCAGTTTGCTTCTGCTGGCCCCAGCCCAGTGAATTGGGACTTTTAGACTCAAATACTCTAAAAACCACAGCTTGGGTCTCTCTCTCTCTTTCTCTCTCTCTCTCTCTTCGGTTTTTCGACACAGAGTTTCTCTGTGGCTTTGGAGCTGTCCTGGAACTTGCTCTGTAGACCAGGCTGGTCCTGAACTCACAGAGATCCACCTGCCTCTGTCTCCCGAGTGCTGGGATTAAAGGCGTGCACCACCACCGCCTGGGTCACAGTTTGGGTCTTTATGAGACCTTGGAAAAAGTGTAGAACATCCCCTGTGTGTTTTTAAGGCTTGGGAACATTCTGGGCATGGAAGTGCACACCTGTTATCCCAGCACTGGAAGCTGAGATTGGAGGATACTAAATTCAAGGCCAGCCTGGGTCCTACCTATTGAGACCCTATCAAAAAGCAAAACAAAACAAAATAAGAACCTGAGTGTCAAAGGTATGGTAGTGCACACCTTTAATCCCAGCACTTGGGAGGCAGAGGCAGGCAGATCTCTGTGAGTTCAAGGCCAGTCTGATCTATAGAGCAAGTTCCAGGACAGTCAAAGCTGTTTCAAAACAAAACACCCTGAATGAATGGGCACAAACTTCATTCTTAAATTAGCACACCTATAACCTTAACTTCCCACTTCCTCTTTCAATAGTGTCTGAGTATTCCCTATTTAGAGCAAGATCAAGAAGGAAGGCCTCACATATCAACAGTGTGCTGGCCCGCCTAGTAGTAGCCCTCTGCTTACCTCTATTCTCTGCTGCCCTGGGCTGCTTCACCTGACCCTGCTGGCTTGCCATTTGGCATAAACCCCCAAGTGCCTCCTTGGAGAGCTAGAGCATGTGCTCCTTTGTCTGTGTGGCCCCTTATCTGGCACGAGAATGAGCACACGCCTCAGCGCTTCTCCACTGCCTACTTTCAGCACATCAGCGGCTCCTGCTCCGTCCACCCGTTTCCTGGTCACATGATGGAGGGTGCTACATGCTTATTACTGTGAGTCCTTCCCCTCATGCTCGTCCTATGCCTTGAACTACAAGGGCTTCTGCTTCTTAAAAGCCATCCAAATAAATAGCCATTCAAACGTATTTATATTGTCTTGTTTTCTTCTTCGTTTTTTTGTTTGTTTGTTTGTTTGTTTGTTTTTAAGTTCCTTACAAATGAGTCCAGAAGCTGGAATAAGCCCTAAAAAATCTGGTCGTAGCCAGGCTGTGGTGGTGCACACCTTTAGTCCCAGCACTCAGGAGGCAGACAGACTGATCTCCGTGAGTTCAAGGTCAGCCTGGTCTACAGAGCAAGTTCCAGAACAGCTAGGGCTGTTACACAGAGAAACCCTGTCTCAACAAACAAACAAATGAATAAATAAATAAAAAGGAATAAAGAAAGAAAAAGGAAAGGGGCACGGGGGTGCAAGTCCTGCAGCAGCTTGTCAAGTTTCTGCCATAGCACTGTGGGGCCTGCCTGGTTCTAGGAGTTACTCCAGTTTTCCGAGTCACTCTGGAATTGGAGATACAGGTAGTTGTGAGATGCATGTGGGTGCTGGGAATTAACCGTGGGTTGTCTGGAGGAAGGTCCTTCACTGCTGAGCTATCTCTCTGCCCCTTTCTTTTCCTTTCTATTCTTTATCCCAAAGCCTAGTCATAGGCTGGGTCACTACGCCTTTAATCCTTGCACTGGCAGGTGGATCTTTGTGAGTTTGAGGCCAGCCCTGTCTACATAGCAGAGTCAAGGGCAGTCAGAGCTATAGGAGACTCTGGGCATGCTTTCCTTGATGCTCCCATCTATTCCCACTCTCACTGAAGCTCCCCTTACCTTCTCACCATGAGGCTGTTTATAAATGGCACAGTTTTCAGTTTTCTGTTTTCCCCTTCTACCTTCTCCCAGCAGTTAGCAGTTGCCTGGATTTACAGCTCATTTTCCCTGCTGTCTTTCTCTTAGATCCTAATAAAATTGTCCTCAAGCTTCAGAGAGAGGGCCGGAGCTCTTGCTTGCCATTTAGCTCAGGCAAGCCTCAAACACAAAATCCTTCTGCATCAAATCTCTCAAGTTCTGGAATTTCAGGAATGTATCACCAAACCTGGCTCAAAATTCAGTGATGCTGAAGTCTTTGTAGACCCCTCTTTCATGAGGGGAGACTCTGGGGTGGATGGTAGACTGAGGCCCCTGAAAGTCAGGCTTCTCTGTGTCAGCCTGAAAGATCTGGAACATCCAGGAGGCAAGCCTCTAGACACAGCTGTGAGGGATCGTCTAGTCTCTGCACAGACTTATGAGGAATTAGTTACTGAGCTGAGGTGGGCAGACCCACACTAAAAGTGGATAGCACCATTCCCTAGGCTTGGGTACTAGACTGTATGGGAAGAAATGAAGGGGCTGGAGACACAGCTCCAGGGTTAAGAGCACTGTCTGCTCTGCCAGAGGTCCTGAGTTCAATTCCCAGCAACAATGTGTGTGGTGATACTTTGTTTATGATCTAATAAAGCTTGCCTGCGGATCAGAATGCAAAACCAGCCACAGACATAGAGGCTAGGCAGTGGTGGTATACACCTTTAACCCCAACACTAAGGAGACAGAGGCAGGTGGATCTCTGTGAGTTCAAGGCCACCCAGGGCTCCATGAGAGTGAATCAGTCTAAAAGAGAAACAGATCTCACACCTGTAATCCTAGCACTAGAGACATGGAGACAGGAGTAATATGGCTGGGCAGAGAGAGGAAGATAAGGCGGGAGGAGACAGGAGCTCATTGTGGTCTCAGGCAGCGTGAGTGGGGGCTGAGCAGCATGCAGTCAGGAGCAGTGAGATTCGGTGGGTCGCCCCTTTAGTCTGAGCATTGGTAGAAGTGAGAACTCTCTAGTGCCTGGCCACTTTGCCTTTCTGATCTTCAGCCTTAACCCCAATATCTTTTTTAAAGATTTATTTATTTATCACATATACAGTGTTCTGCCTACATGCCAGACGAGGGCACCAGATTGAATTGTGGTTGCTGGGAATTGAACTCAGGACCCCTGGATGAGCAGTCAGTGCTCTTAACCACAGAGCCATCTCTCCAGGCCCTATCTCTAGGTTTTTTATTATTCGTGTTACACGCATGGTGGTTCACACTTGTCGCTCTGCTTTCTGCGGGTTCGATGTGACCAGCTGGTTAAAGGCCTTGGCTTTCTTGCTACGAGGGACTGAACCCTTGAGCTGAGCTAAAGGAAGCTCTTTCTCCTTAGAGTGGCTTTTGTTGGGGTTTATCACAGCGGTAGGAGAAGAAGCTAACACACCCAGTGGGGCTCCTGATGTGGGCTCCATTTCCTCTGCAACTGTGACAGGTGAGGATGAGGTGGGAGGAAGATGAGGAGATGGGAAGGGTCTTCTCTTGAGAAGGAAGAGGGTCACCTGACTCCCGCCCCAGCCAAACTTCCTCTGGTACCTTAGCATCGCCCTGCATCTTAACACGTTGGCAGAGCAGGAATCCAGGAAAGGTTTCACGGAGTCATTACAGCTCAGTCTTATCTGGCTGTGATCAACTGTCAGGCGGGGTTAGAGTCATCTGAAAGTTCCTGTGGAGGTCTGCTTCCAAGATGACACATTCTCACGGCTGTGACAAGTAGTCACAGCTTGTCACGTTTGCCTGAATGTCCTCAAGATGTGACTGTTGTAGAAGGAGAAACTGAAGACATTATTGTTTATGACCTAGCTTCATCAGCCATTGTCTGTGGGTCACAACCCTGATTCAGTGATGGTGTGACTATCGGAAGTGACGCAGTCTGGGGCCATTTGGGAGTTTGGCTACCACATCTCACACTGCCTACAGCATGGCGTAGCTAGAAGCTCCCGAGGTTGTCCCAGCACGTCCTCTGATGAATAAGACTAGACCAAATGTGCCTGCTTGATTCTCCAACCTTGAGTCCCTCCACTCACACCCCTGCACACCTGGTCACTCTCTCTCACCCCTGCACACCTGGTCACTCTCACCCCTGCACACCTGGTCACTCTCACCCCTGCACACCTGGTCACTCTCACCTTGCACACCTGGTCACTCTCACCCTGCACACCTGGTCACTCTCTCTCACCCCTGCACACCTGGCCACTCTCACCCTGCACACCTGGTCACTCTCTCTCACCCCTGCACACCTGGCCACTCTCACCCCTGCACACCTGGTCACTCTCTCTCACCCCTGCACACCTGGTCACTCTCACCTCTGCACACCTGGTTACTCTCACCCTGCACACCTGGTTACTCTCACCCTGCACACCTGGTCACTCTCTCTCACCCCTGCACACCTGGTCACTCTCACCTCTGCACACCTGGTCACTCTCACCCTGCACACCTGGTTACTCTCACCCCTGCACACCTGGTCACTCTCACCCTGCACACCTGGTCACTCTCACCCCTGAACACCTGGTCACTCTCTCTCACCCCTGAACACCTGGTCACCAGGGACCCCTGGGGAGGCATGTGGTCTTTCACTGTCACCCTCACACCTCCCACGGAGCAGGTTCCTCCAGGAGCCTTCGTGCCTCCACCTTGGGGGATGTCACAGCAATTGTGTTTTCAGATGCTTGATGATGCCAAGACATTTGTACAATGGTCATTGGCTAGTGGTACTGAAACTATTCACAGGGGTTCACAACCAGGGGATCATGTCCAGGGCAAGGGAAGCAGCTAGACGGAGGATGGACTGCTATAGCTGAACCCTCTACTTCCCAGCATGCTCTTGAAACTGGATGTGAGGTCAAAAGCCCTATGACAGGGGTGTGGCTTGGAGCTGAAAAACAGGAGCAACGGGATGGAAAGCTCTTGGCACTGCTGTGTGTCCTTCTCTTCCTATTTACTGAGCTCATGGATGACCCCAGAGTTACATATTCTCCTTTTCTTTTGCTCAATGACCACACTTTAACTCCCTAATCGGTTACTTTAAAAACAAATAGTTTTGATGACTATGACTATGACTGTGAGGGTGCACTGTGTTCTTTAAGAAACATAGTTGGGGCTGCACAGATGATTTCATGATTAAGAGCACTCGATGCTCTTGCAGAGGACCCAGGTTCAGTTCCCAGCATCCACATGGTGGCTCACAACCATCTGTAAGGTTAGATGTCAGCTTGTCATCTAGATCCAGGACGGTCCTTTACACCTGCAATCCTGGCACTCAGAGGCTGCAGGAGGAAGAAACAGAATCTAAAACCAGCCTAGGATGCACAGAGAGACTCCATCTCAAAGAAAGTGGGGGCACAGGAAGGAAGGGAGGGAAGGAGGAAAAGGTAAAAACCCCAGACCAAACAAAACACACACACAAAACCAACTTGTTAATAGACTACAGGGTCTCTCTTAAGTCCCTCACTGTCCTGACTTTCTTCTATGCTTCTAAAAACAAAACCAAACAACCACATTTTTGCTGTTTTGTTTTGTTGTTGTTGAGACAAGGTCTCACTATATATGGCAGGCTGACCTGGAACTTTCTG